TCATTATTAACATATACGTTACGATTGATGTAGGGGACGCAGCGTAGTGATTGATTAGTTGCGGTCGAACGGAACGTTGAAACATTGATGTATAATTTATAATGTAGATAGAAATAATTGCCCGGTTAGTACACGCTGTTGGACTAACTTTGTAGTCTAGCTAGGCAATCAGGGCTGTATATCGAATCGAGATTTCAGATAGTCAAATGGGTACTATCGTATAAAATACAGCACAATTTGAATATTACTTAGCCTAAACATGCGCCGTTTGAACGAAGACAATAATAAATCGTAGAACTCTATATTCAAATTGTAAAATACCCCTGCATACTTCAAATACTTACTAATTTAAAAAATAATGCGTCCGATACCCGTGAAATAACTACTACTATTACGAACTATTTAATATTCCTAAGCGGTATGCCTAAAAGACAGCGTAGCTAGATAAACTGTCATCGTGACGCGTTACGTAACGAATTTTGTCCGACCTATAAGGGCCAAAACTTATTGAAAAGCTTCGCACATAGTACATTTCTGTATACCTATATATACCAGATACGTCTCTGGTTTGACAAAGTCGTAACGTAAATTATATAATAATAATAAATCTCTTTATTTGCCATTACATTTAGTACATTCATTAGTAGTAGTAGAAGAAATAAAAGTAATTACTACATAATGATTAATATGAAAAGATTAAATTTAATTTGAATAAAAGTGATGCCAAAAGGGTCTTGCGTCAGCATAAGTTGCAGCACGGTTATACTACTACACTGATTTTCAGCAAAACCCTTAGCCTTTATAAAAAAGACAAGAAAATATATATAAAGAATAAAAATTAAAGAAAAACAAGTAAAAAAAAATTAAATGAAGTTTTTTCTATGAATACAAAAAAAATTCCATAAATTCGACCCAAATTATAAATTTCATACGTGGTCAAGCTAAATAAACTGTTTTAAAATGGCTGTTATGTAATACGTTATCAAAGAGTATTATTATTTTCTCAGTAATACAGTAATTATCAATTTATTATGCTATGATTGTATAGGTAATAAAATTATTTTAATTGCTGCTTTGATATTAAGAAACACATTGAAATAAAACACTTTAGCGGTTTAAAACGCGATAAATATTAGTTAAAATAATTTGAAAATTATTTTCGGATGTCTGTTGCGGTTGCATTGGTAGCATTGGTTACGAGGAGACTAAAGATGGAGAGTGTCTCTGATGTCAAAATAAAAACTCATGCAAAATATGACGAAGGTTCCATATGAAATTTCCATATCCAGGAGCGTACTTCTATTTAAAGTGTACTTGAATGTTCCTTTATTTCACTGGCACCAAAGCAAACGGTTGCGCACCGTTTCACTCCTCATTAATCACAATATACGGTTGTCATAGCAACAAGTACATTCTGAAGACAAGTTCAAAGGAGAAGATCGTAAGCATACTTCGTTACACACGACACGAGAGGAAAACTGAAAATATAGGAAAGTAGACATTTTGAACATATTTATAAGAGTCCTTTATAACGAACGACCTGTATAATATATGGAGATTCAAGTACTGTTAAATTTACTTTATTCTTTGCGATCTTTTAAAAGTACCCACTTTTAGTAAGTAAGTTTTTTTTATCGGTACTTTTTTGAAAAAAAAATCTGTTATTATTTTAAACCTACTTCTTTAATTTTTTTAACATTTAAATATTTATAATCGTTAAAGTTTATTTTATTGAAAAAAAAATTTCAAAGCTTAATTGCATGAAGGTTGTAAAAAGTCCTAAACGTTTCACACAAAAGGTTTAAAAGTTTAAATTGGATATTGCTACGAGTATTTTTGCGTCGTAGTTTTTCGCTTGAAATTGCCATCTAAAATATTAAACTAGAAAGCTGTAAAAACCCTGTATTAGTCTGAAGATATAAAATACGTCTAACTTGAACGCGACAAACATTTTATTCGAGACCGAGTTTCTGTAGACATACTCAAACTTATTACTTCTTAACAATATCCAACGGGAGGCTAAAAATTACTTTCGTTCCTCCCATCCTTTTTATCCTGGATACATTCAGGTAGATCGAAACTTCGCATTTCATACGTATAAAAACTATGGAGCGTTCTCGAAAGTTCTACTAAACTCACGCTGGCCCAGCGAGATCGTACCCAATCGAGAAACTCATTACGTACAAGCTTTTCGAAAACAAACTACCAGTACGTATAAATGTTTCGTAAACTCCGATAGAGATTCTGGCAGTAACACAAAAAGTCACTAACGAGAGCCTTAATTCCGGTCGAAGTTGGACGTTGCACGGACTCAATTAGTTGGTGTTCAGAACCTGTGGCAGAAGCGAGGTGTCAACTTGCACGTTTGTTGTCACTCGCCTGTTAGCGCCCGCTGAGACACGACGTCTCCAGGCCCCTAGGAACCTGAGGATTCCATTGAACACATTTCCGAGAATCGTTGATTTCGCTCTATTGTACGCGGAAGTTAACGCTTTTTCATTTTTTTCTTTTTCTTAATGTACTATTATATGTCGAGGTTATGAAAGAAAACTAATATATAAAAAAGTTTCGTAATCATAGGGGTTACAATATTATAAGACAAGGTATCGTAGAACTATTTAAGTAAATATGCCGTATTTTTAACTAAGTAGGTCAAACCACAACCTAGTTTGAACATAAATTATAAATATATACTCGAAAAGCGGTCATGGGTATCGTGGGGAGTGACAAAACTTTTAAATTAGCTTTTAACCACATTATTTACTTTAAGTGACCCGGTATTTTCATAACAATTTAAAATCAATTTATTTGACTTATAAGTTACATATAGATGTAGGTCACATTGTTCAAATCGACTTTAAGTCCAAAGTTGAAACCTTTGATTTATATTGGCTACAAAGTGTTGGCTCTGAAGTTAAAAAAATTCTAAACAGCACCTTATTCTGCCCATTCTATAGTCGTCTTGCTCATCACTTAGGTACAAAAAAAGTCAGTTTCATAGTAAATAAAATTAATAATAATTTAAAATTATACGGAATAGTTACACGCTGATTTCATTCGAGTTTTTATGGTTTTGGACAATATGATGCTCAAATAAAACACTTGTAACTGTTTAAAAATTTTTATTCATATCTGAAACGTCGAGCCATAGTCAAAATACATTAACTAATGTATTTTGCGTTTTAAACGGTTAATGTTTTAATGTGTACAACTCACGTAAAATACAGACATTATAGTGTTTTTTTTGGAAACTTCGGCTAACGAAAATTTAACCAAGTTTTGGGTCTATAGTGTAGTGTTTTTCTAAATTTTTATGAAACCTTATAATTTTAAAGATTTTTATTCCTGTCCCGTTTTTGTTTAAAGGAATCTTAATAATATATTAATCTTCCTTCTTATTCAACTACATAATACCAGTACGACTTTTGTGAAGCCAGAGTTATGAAATTCGATATTACTAATAATTAATGATTGTATGGCTGTTGCATGGACTGTTTTGAATTGAATATTGAATGGATATTTCTGCTCGGCTACGGTACATACATAATTTAAGTATATTACCATACATTAATTAATGGAGCGCTGTAGGGTAGTATAATGTTAAAATACGGTTATACTTTTTTCTTTTTTACGATATTAAATTATATCAAGGTTAAATATTTCTTTCTGTTTCTAGACAGACAAAAGTTTTTTAGACGATCTTATAGTGTTAGTGCTCTAGTCACATTTTTGGCTCGTCGGTGTACAAAAACAAAAGTCCACGTAGTCCAACATTTTTTTAATCAATTTATAATTTTTTTGAAACATGTTACTCTGGAAATCTGGATATTCATTTTGTTCGGGTCACGAACTATCGTCCACACTGGGAAAAAAGGAAGTTTAAAATCACGTCACGGTTTCAATCTGTAGATTTCCGAATATCCAAAGCCAAAAAAAGGTCGACAGAGCATCTTATTTAGATGCTATAGGCCGGAGATTTCACCGCATGCTTGTCTGTTCTCGTCTATCATTAAAAAAAGGTCACAGTATTTCATGTTACCAATAAGAAGTCGTACCCAAGTCAAAGGCGTGTTCAATGCTAATCCAAATGGCGTAACAGGCCGACAGGTGTTAGCAACAAGAGAATATCCATAAAGTGGGTGAAGGAAGCTCTACAGTCTGCATGCATATTGCATATGTGCTGTAAGGTGCTTAGGTAGTAAGATTAGAGACACCGGCCGGCGACTTAACGATCTGAAACGACTGACCTAACCGCTCCTTTGCTATTCAGACCCTTTGTATATTCACATGTATTGAAGACGTCTTTGGATCTATGTCATATGATTGAACGCCACGCCAACGTGATTGGTGCTAAGCCACAATAATTAACTAATCTATCTATACTAATATATAAAGCTGGAGAGTTTATTTGATTCTTTGAACGTGCTAATCTCAATTGAAATTTTTTTGCATGGGTAGAGCATTGACCGAGGAAAGCTTTAGACTATAACATTGCGTTGTGACGGTTCGAGACACCCAAAAATATGTATGAAAGAATGATTTCTCCTTAAATGATCTAAAAAAAACGTAAAGGTTTATCCTTTAAGATTTAGTTACAGGAACGACGGGAAGGGACGCGACCGATGTCGTGGGTAACAGCTTAAGTTTATAAAAATGAAGGGGTTTTCAAAAACGAGTTTGGCTGCCCAAAATAACTACTACACGCGGACGAAGTTGCTGACACAGTTAGTAATAATATAAGCGGTGAAAGAGGGTGGAACTGCGTGGTTTACGCAAAGTTAGGCATTTCATTAAGCGCGAGAGGTCCGGGGTTCCTATCCTATGGAAAGTAAATTATAATAAGCCATTTATTAGTGGGTAGTAATTGGACATAGAATTGTGTCTATCCTTAAGGCGTATCGAATTTCTGATGTGTATTCAATGCTTTTGCAACAAAGAAATTATACAACGCGTATTATTTTATCATTACGTCTTTCTACATAGATTTTCTCTCGTTTCAGAGTGTGCGCGATGTTCCTGCCAGAATTCGCAAGTTTCGTGGCGGCCATCTTGTTTGCTGTGCACCCCATCCACACAGAGGCTGTAAGTACACTTCCTTATTTTAGATTATAAAGAGACTTCAACATAATTCTATATTCGACGGTCCAGTTGGTAAAATGGTAACAATCGTGGGTTCGATCTCCACCAGGTCCAATATGTTTCAATTTTAATTATAATTTTTCTGAAACATGCTGAACTTCGTCTGGAAACCTGGATATCTAATGGGTAGTTGGAATATAGAAATTCCGCGCGGGTCACAAACCACCGTCCACAGATTAAAAAGCCGTGACGTTTAATCGCGTTTCAGTCTGCGGATTTCCGAATATACAAAGCCAAAAATAGGTCGACATCGCACCTTGTTTAGATGCTATAGGCCCAGCGACTCACCTACCATCAAGTTTACCCCATACCATATCTGTCGTCCTCTATCACTAAAATATTAGAGTAATTAGAACAACATCAAAGTATCAGGTTCTCTTTATTCAAGCATAAATCGAAAAACTCGATCGACTAATAGTGCTTCAATTATGTATGTAATTAAGTAATTACACCGCAAACCGAATAAAGCTATCAAAACGTCCGTGGCTTAAATTAAACTTAACAATTTTAATAGGACACGCGACCCTGTGGGGCCTTTTATCTCATTCCAATTTTGTTCGACATTGTCATTTACATTTTGTCGAATCGCTTGTCACCGCCGATGACTGTTTAAACTGAGTAATAGCCATGTAGCTGGGTTGTATGGTTGTTTATCTCTGGAGAGTGTTGTATGTCATTTAATTTTAATTCCCGCTATGAATAAAAGAATGTTCAATGTGAGTAGTGCAGCGAACATCGCGTTTCCAACGTGAAGCAAGATTAGGCAAACGTCCGTTATACAGATTGATCTTTTAAAGGAAAAATCCAGTGCCTTCTGCAACCAAAATACCCCAAAAACAAAACTGAACGATAACCGCGAGAGTTCAAAATTCGAGCACAACGAATTCTGTAAAAAAACAAAATTTCAGTCACAAAGAAGTGTCATCAACTACTTGCCTGTAAGTAATAACAGTCAAACAGACACAAAAATATATCAAAGACGTTAACAAGCTCTAATTGAATTAGATTGATTATATTACTAATACTATATATCTCTACTAATATATAAAACTGAGTTCTTTTTTGAACGCGCTAATCTCAGGAACTACTGGTTCCAATTTTTTTTTGTTGGTTAGCAACATTTATCAAGCTTTAAAAGCTATACTAAATCGTGCTGCACCCAATGAGAGCGAAGAAACAAAGGGAAATGAGGAAAAATTATTTATCCTTGAGAGTTTCCGTTATGTGCGCTGCGAAAACGGCTCAAGAAACAAAAAATTAAGTAAAAAAGATTATTGTATTTTAAATGATGTAAAAAAATCCACATCTTTCTTTTAAGATTAACTTGCAAGACACGACGTCGTATTACCTATGACTTACAAAGATCGCAAAAATAAAATTTTGATCGACGACATCGCAAACAGAGCTAGTTACAAATAAATGTAACAGATCTTCAGTGTAATTACCGGCTATATGTAGTCCGGATCCTTTGAAGTGTGCCAGACGGTATTGATACCCACATTTCTAATTAATTGGGCCTTTTATGACGGGTTTCCTGCGATTAGGGGCTGACGTCTCTATCCTCTTACTGACAGCCACTAGAGTAATTAGGGGTATAGAGCCATTCTCTATCAAGGCTCCATGTATCTATTCCCTTTCCTACAATGCTATTGAATCGAGAGTATTTTAGTCTAAGCAATGGAAAGGTGCTTTCAGATTTCGCTTGTGTAATTAACATGGATGCAATTAGCCAAAACCATTTCAATATCAATTCCTAACAGAACACATTGTCAGTACTTAAGAGTAATATCTGGTAATATAAAAGTCTCTCTCTGGGGTATGGGGCGAACACATTATTACTGTGACCGTTCGACCAGTGAGGTCGATTTGATTTAGAAGTAGTTGATCAGACTTCAGTGCCTTACCGGAAAACTGCTTATAGTTCAATACTGTCTGAGGTTTACGCGAGTAGTACACATTTAAACAAAAACTTTTAACGGTTGTAAAACTAAAATGTATTAGTTAGTTAAACATATTTAAAATTCTTTTAATTGAGGCTTTACGTTTCGGATGCTTTGCAGCCGGTTGACTATGTTTGGTTTTAATTCGTAAAAAGTGCTTTATTTAAACCTGTTTTTAAAAGATTCTGTCCCAAAGTATACAAGGCGCTACATCGCTGGAGGGCTGATTTTCAGGGAGACTGTGAGACTGTGAAAGTGAATTCTAAACACGACAAATAAATGAAACAAACTAAGCCCGCGGCTCGGCGCGAGGTATATTTATTTTTGCATAATATATGTATATTTTTTTTGCAAACAACCTCCTCAGCCTAATATAGCTATTACCCAAGACGCCGTCTGCGTCCCGTCGTTGCGGGTTAATTTTAAAAGATACACTTATACCTACTGTTGCTGAATTTTTTTTTAATAATTGAAAGGAGAATCATTCTATCATACATATGTTTTGGTTTCTTGAAGTATTTTCGAAGCGCAAGCAACGGAAGCTCACAATCATTAATAATTATTTCTCTTTTTCTTCGCTCCTATTGATCGAAGCGTGATGTTTTATGCCCTAAAACTTACTCAAACCAGTAGTTTCTGAGATTGGCGCGCTCAAACAAACAAACTCTTCAGCTTTATAATAATTGTATAGATTAACAATAAAAGTATTATAATAACTGATAAGATATCGTATAACTTTATGTTTATTCGCTCGGCTATAAATAGATTATACGCGGTAAGAAGATAAATTATCACAAATCCTTTTCATAATTGCTGTCGTTTCGTAAAATTATGAATGAAATCTGTTATCATTTGTCTTGCCGCAACTGCGGGCTTCGCTGCTATCAATGGTGGAGGCTTCTCTGTGTGTTTGGCTTATATCATATTTTGTAACACAATCTTTTCCAACTTTTCATTTTTAAGGATATTTGTCATTTATCATGTATCTTATAAAACATTTTCTATTACAACTGTCCTTCATAAACAAAGTAGAAATTATATTAATAAGCGTATAGAAAAACTCTTACGAGTTTGTAATTTGTATAATCACTTAAACTTTTAAATATTAAATAATATTATATGCGTACAAAAAATTGTTGAATTCATAAATAGCCAGAATAGATTTTTTGATTTATGCATATAATATTTTTTCTCTTACTTAGAAGTACATAATATTAAATAAGGAAGAGAGAGACGAAAGCGTCCAACACTAATTTATAAAACAATTCAAGTTAAAAATAAATGTACTGGTTACCTATCACTACTAGGTATCTAGGTTTATGTAACGGTCGATTTAAAAACTCTCTAATTCAAAGAAATATCCAGGCTAATACGGCTTAATGAAGATAAGCCGTCATTATTGTGTATTAAGTTAATCAATGGCCTATACGAAGCGCTATGAAATCTCGTGCTATACCTCAAGTGACACATAATTAGATAAGCTTAATCACATAACATTATGCACCGGCGATTCCTCACTTAGCTTTTACTAGGCTTCACTGGACGACTAATATGTCAATATCTTTTATTCTAAATTTGAAATTGAGACTTATGGCACTTAGTGACCATGTTTGCCTCCAAAACAAACACTTATTTGAAATAACGTTAAGCGATAACTGATATATTTCGCGTTTGAAGCCGAACTGATATATGTTTTATGACTGATATTTCACCTAACATCAAGTGAACCTCGTGTCTATCTGTTCTCCATCAGAAAAAAATCAGATAGCCTAAATCGAAACAGATTTATAATCCGTAAATTTAATTGTAAAAAACAAAGATTATTAGTCTATTTATAGTCTAGGGCATTTCAAGTTTCTTCTCAAAAGTTTAAATAAATGGGAAACCAGATATCTAGCCTCCTTCAACGTTGTACTAGAACAGTCCAGACTTAAGTTGTTTTTAAGTTGACTGAAGTACACAGTATTGTAGTCTGTTATAAGACTGTCGCACTCAATACAAGTTATTTCTGATAGCTTTACTACTTGAACTTTGTGGTTATTATAGAATCCCTAAGCACAATATTGGCATTCACTTCATGGCAGGTGAAATGCACCACCTATAAAACTTGTTGGCTTTGGATGTTCGGAAATCCTTAGACTGAAACCGAAACGCGATTAAATTTGACGGTTTTCTCATCTGTCGACGGTGGTTCAATCCAGTTAATATCCAGATTTCCATACCGATATGTTTCAGAATAATTACAAAACGATTGGAAATATGTTAGTCTCAGTGGGGTACCCTAACCTAAAACCCGTTGATTTTTGGCCAAATATTGCTATCATTAGACCCACGACCTCTCTTTAGGACATTCACTTCATTAATGTATACATTTTGGAAAAGGTCCTTACACATTTTGCAGGTTACTTGCCTGTTGTTCAAGCAATTCTGTCTACGCGGCAAAAACTATTAACGTAATTTGAAGTAATAAGAAATATATATTTCTTATTACTTCAAAATACTTGATGACTAGATCCTAATATATGATGGTTATTTTAACAATTCAAGCACTAAACAACTGCACCAGCCATCAAAAAGCGACAGCCTTCTATCTAGTGTTAAATTTGTAGCTTCGAATGTGTAACTTGTTTCTTAGTAAAACTGTTTGTAATGAAGTCGTGGGACATGCCTGGGGCAACCTGACAGCACTTCGAGCACTAACTATGTTTGCTATTTTACTCTGTGCTAGCGTCAGGGTGTGGCTCGAGTTGGGAAGGAATTCATATCTGTTTCATTAATATTTTTATTCATTATAAACGTGTTCCTTTTATCCTACTGTAAAGTAAGTTAAGATTTCTTTAGTTCTAGTGCTATTTTAAACCATATCGAGATTTTTATGTAACAATAAAATAACTAGCATTAATGGTTTTTCGGGCTATCTGGCCGACGTATGCAACAAGAGGTTCTCGACGTTTCGCCATCACGAACGGCCATATTTCTTTAAGCAATCGAGCTGACAACATCTCCTGACGATGCCGTCCTCTCGTGATAGCGAAACGTCGAGAACCTCTCCTTACGTCGGCCAAACAGTCCGAAAAACAATGATGTGCTGAACAATGGCCGTGAAAGCCTTACACAATTTAGTAAAATAACTAATTGAACAAAGTGCTTTAATTTTTTTTTGTAACGTAACGATTCCACCAAAAAAATGAATATCGCTGTTAAAAAAATGCACCTTTCAAATATGTTTCATATTGTTACTCTCAATTTTGAACAAAGTTTCAATTTCAACGCCCGTATTTTGCTTTTATTGCTCCGTCGCTGGCAGACGGGCCGCAAGCTTTTCGCTATTAAGCAGCGGTCACCTCCATTTTCCTAGACTGAACAGCGCTTTCAATATTTTCTCTCGATAATTTCCCCTAACAAGGAACACTGCATTTTACTTTTTATTAACACGCCTTTGTTGAACGACTGACTACCTTTTCTTTACAATTTTATTTAAGGGACGTTAATTAACGTAATAATATTGCGCTAGCGTTATAAAACAAAAGATTTCTCTGAAATAAACTCGTTTTACTTTTTCATTCTGAAGAGATATCTATGTATAGAACCATTGTTTCCTTACTATTCTTGGATGTTAATCTTAACGTTAAGAAAGGAAAATTTGATTTATTTATAATTGACGTTATAAATATAAATGACCCTATTCGAATATTTTAACATAAACCATGTAGGGAGGTTATTTTAGTAGAGGTATTCACTATGCGTAGTGTAACTTTGATGAAGTAGTAACTAATAAATAGACGCTAATGCTGACGTAATTTGGATGACTATATGCTCGTATTTAATTTATTTCTTACCTTATTAAGAAGTTTTCTTTTTACTTTCCGCAGGTGACTGGGGTTGTCGGGCGAGCAGAGATGCTTTCATCCGTGTTCTTCCTGGGAGCTCTGTTGTGTTACGCTCGTGCGGCCAGTAGACGACGGTGTACTGGTAATTTTTATTAGAGATTAATCTAAGACAACGTACACTGTTTGTTGTGGAGTAATTTTTTTTATTTATTTGCATATATTAATGTATAATTCATATGTTATGTGCCTTTATACTGATTATTTCTATCTATGTAAGTGAAAACTCTTTCTCTATCTGTAGGGGCAAAATACGAACACAATGCTAAAGATTTCATTGTCTTCATCAAGAATAATATTTCCTTAAATTCGGAATTAAAAAGTTAATGAAACTAAACAAAATGCTAAACAGTACTAGGCACAAGACGGTAATAATTTATAAAACATATGATAGCAAGTATAATAATTATTTTCCTTCATTAGACAACATTTATGAGAATTGCCACTTAAACTGTTGCTTAATGACTTGGCTATTATACGGTGTCCACTTTTCGTATAAAGACGTACTCGACACCTTTTTAGTTAATATAGAGTTATGAATATTTTAATAACTTATTTTGAAAGATTAGATACAAATACTGTTCCTAGAACAACTAACATTACTTAAAAATATTTAAAAGTTAATTAAAAAATCTATTGTTTGATTGTTACATCCATTTTGTTGTAGTCAATTTATATAACAGGCCTGTTGTTTTCTTCATTTCAAAATCACACTGACAAAATAATGGACCACGTGACCAATGTATAATTTTTCTACACACCTGTTTTGATATTGAGTTTAAGTAAATCTCTGATTTATATTTTGACCTGCTCCCTAACTTACCCATCCTCGATTAACACATTCTCAAACGTAAAAATGTTCAAGTTCGGCCATTTTTGCGTTGTTATTTCCTGGCGAAATTAACAAAAGCATAAGAGAGGTTATACTCGTTGTGAAGCGTATATTATGTGCCCTGTGGTCCGCTTACCGTTACATAAACAGCAGTTCCTTATTGTGTCGTTTGGACCGAGTATTCCGAACAGTCTCAATAGCCTGCGGTTAAGTGGGTGATAAGGCCTATCTCTGAACTTTGAACCAGAATTATTCCGAACTTGGAATCAACCTCACGTTTGCTAAAGAAAAACAACATTTGTTCCCCTCGTGAGTAGTTTCATTTTTGCTTATCGTTGTATTTTGGATCACTGCTATCTGTTACAAGTGTTAAAAACCTAAAAACAGCTCAAAAGTAACGGCACTTAAGCATGAAAACTTCGTCGCTCCCTTATTGTTTTCGTAACAGTAAAATTGCTACTTTTCATAAAAAAATTCATTGTTATAAGTTTCATTGTTCCAAATGTTTTAATGACTATATTTTTCTCTATTCATTTGAATCTGGGCCGTCCTAGGTAGTAACTTCTTTATTCACTGCCGCCTCAATCTCCCACTTAGCTCATGTTACGGCCTCGCGGGGCTGAGATGAAAACAAATGAACGCCTTGAATTATAAATAATCATAAAAACTTAAACACACTTAAACTCTTCCCGTTTCAGCGTGCACTGAAAGGTGGAGTATTGAAACGTTTATACACTGCTACATTCTTTACAAACTCTTTTAAAGTTTCCATTTCGATTTATTTTTATCCATTTAAAATTATATAAAGAAAGTAATAAATATAATTTGGCAATAGTTATTTAGGCACCAATGAAAAAGTGTGAAAAATTGTGGATTCCTGTGAAATAACACACCTATTTCTCGAAGAAACTAAAACCGTACAAACACAGCTTAAAAAGCTTTCAAGAGTCAGTCGTTAGTCCGACGTCCGTTCTGAGAAATAGAGTCAAAACACTATAAGAATTAGGTCACCTTCTTCGACCCGAATAGATTATTTATTTTGCATTCCTTTCATCAAGCGGTTCTATTCCACTTGCTTGTTCTTCGTCTTAAATTGATGACATGCGAAAGAAACCTTTTTTGTTGTATACTATAAATACAAAATTATTTTAACGTATGAAATACATTTCTATCCTATTATTATATATGACGGCGTGGGGTAGTTCGGAATAGAACGGGACAGCGATACTATACGCACGAGATACGCAAGCCGCATGTAACCGCAACTAAAACGTAATGTTCGAGCCTGGCATAAAAAGGCCGGCTCCCGAGTCCCCCAAGGCTGAGCGCTTTCACCGTTAATGTTCTCGCTATTCACCAGCATCTTTCCCAAACCCGTCAAGGCCCACCTCGCGGTTTCCGCCGACGATACGGGTGTTTACATCTCCCACTGCATACCTCAGCAGGTCGTCTCGATTCTCCAGGCCGCAGCAGAGTGGAAATAGAGAATCGAGGTCTAACTTTACTTGCAGAGCCTTTACGGCTCGGAGTAAATCTTCCAGACGGCCCGCCAATGTCAAGCACTACGGTGAAGATTTCCTAAAAGCCACCAAATACTTAGGCGTCAGGCTTGATAGTCAGCTCAACTTTCGCTAGCACATCAAATGAGTACTCCGTAAAGCTTGCTTTGTTAAGAGCAGGTTATCCCTCATGATTTGCGCGCGTAGTAATTGTCCCTCAGACACAAAGTCACCCCCTCTACTAAACATGCATCCGCCCGATCTTCACCTACTCCAATAAGAAAAATTATCGCAAGGCATTTTGGTACGGATCGTCTAGGTGTGCAGAGCACTGTTTCTAGTGACACGTCACCAAACCAATTAAAGTGATTAATTACTTTGTCATAATAAATGTTGTTATATAATATGGGGTTTATCTAATAATGGTTATACCTGAATCTTACATATACATTGATTTACGACAACTTTTTTTATTCAGATTGGCGCTATGTAGCTGCCTGTACGGTGTGCGTGGGAGTAGCAATGCTTTGCAAGGAGCAAGGTATCACTGTGACTGCCGTGTGCGTCGTGTACGAACTATTCGTGGCACAAAAAGTAAGTTTAAAAACAAATTATTTATAATTTCTCGCCATTTTAATATCAAGATGGGTCTTCTGCATTTTGAAACACTCGCTCTACGTTCTTTATTTTGACAAATACTTTCTCGTCTCATCGCATTTACACGTTTTAGATAAATAGAAAAAAATAATAGATTATAAGAAATTTGTACTTTACATTTCAGCGCCGATCAAGTACAGGTCGGTCCTGGGTAGATATATGGGGTAAAGGAGGTTGGGGCTGTGCCTGCGGAGAAGCAGCTAGACGCATCACGACAGTGTGCTTTGCGACACTGGCTCTCTTAGCAGCCAGATTACATGTGATGGGCGCCCAATTACCAGTTTTTACAAGATTTGACAATCCTGCCGGAGCTGCTCCGCCCCCAGCGAGGTAAATTATGCTTTTAAGAAAAGCTATATCTCTAAAAGATGCCATTCTTGATGGCACAGCGACGAAAACCCTTTCTGAATCACGACGGATACAGAGTTCGTAAACCGAAGTAAAAAATCGTAATAGAAATTGTACATCCAGTAAATTAATAATAGAAAACAGTGCGGGTAAAGAATACACTAAGGAAAAGGGTTACGACCATTTAAAAACGTTTGTTACTTTTTCACTTTTAAATTTTATTTTTTCAGACATTTAACATTTGCATACTTGCCAGCCCTCAATGCATGGCTCCTTACTCTACCAGAAGCGTTGTGCTGTGACTGGACCATGGGCACCGTAGCTCTATTAAAGTCGTGGCGAGATCCACGAAATCTAGCCACACTAGCTCTTGCTACTTCTTTGATAGCAGGAGCGATACACGCTTTGAGGACGCGTTCTTCCGCACTATCAATGGTAGGCCATTCTTCTACATTTTTTAGATTGAAAGTATTATATGATACAGGCAGGTGTCCCACGAATGCTATTACTTTTCCAATTAAATAAATCATTAATCAATTAAAATCTATCATTATTTGCAGGGTCTAGCTTTACTCGTCCTTCCATTTCTGCCAGCTTCGAACCTATTTTTCCCAGTCGGGTTCGTAGTAGCTGAGAGAGTTTTGTACATGCCATCAATGGGTTGGTGCCTTATTATCGCGCACGGCTGGAGACTCCTTGCCAAGAAGAGAGCCAAGCTGGCTGCATCTACACTGATCTTCCTGCTGCTAGCCTTCAGTGCCAAAACCTACGTTAGAAATTGGGATTGGAAGACTGAATACTCCATTTTTGCTTCTGGTCTTAAGGTATTGTTGTGTTGATATTAATCTTAATTGATGTGTTATATTCCGTTAAGTACTGGGCTTACTTAGTGTTTCACTAGTCGATTTCATTTACAGACTACTTAGTAAGACTGTATACTGCAAGATTTTTTATGTTTTTCTGGAATTTGAACCCACGACATGCTCTTGCAGTACAGTACAGTGCAAGAACGATTGACCCACGAAGGCAATTAAGACGAGAGACAGTAAAAGGACATTTGAATTTTTAGGTAAATCGAAATAACGCGAAACTTTATAACAACGTTGGCCACGCACTAGAAGCAGATGGCAAATACAGTGAAGCGCTGGAATTCTTCAAAACGGCAGTCAACGTCCAGCCGGACGATGTTGGGGCACACATCAACGTCGGCAGGACCTTCAACCACCTCGGACTGTACCAAGAAGCGGAAGACGCCTACGTCCAAGCAAAGTCCTTATTACCGAAGGCGAAACCAGGGGAATCGTACCAGGCTCGAATAGCACCGAACCACTTAAATGTATTCTTGAACTTAGCCAACCTTATATCGAAGAACGCAACTCGCCTGGAGGAAGCGGATATGTTGTATAGGCAAGCGATAAGCATGCGCGCTGATTACACCCAGGCGTACATAAATAGAGGGGATATTCTTATTAAATTGAATAGAACTAAGGAAGCACAGGAAGTATACGAGAGAGCTCTATTGTACGATAGCGGAAACCCGGATATTTACTATAATGTACGTATCGAAGATTTAATAAATTCTTTAGATAGTTTTTTTATTTATATTTGCGGGGTACAGACAAGCATGGATCAAGATGCGCTGTCGATTGGATATTCGGAAATCCACAGAATTAAACTGAACCGTCATCAACCATTAACCGTTAATGGTTTTTAATTTTGTATTTAGAATAGAACCATCCAATGAATAGGTTATTTAATCATTGTTCCGTAGAAACCATATCCAAATGATGACACTTTTAGTAATTTTAAATATTTTAAATATTTATCTTCTCGGAACACATCTCTTTTATGTAAGATAAAAGAACGGGAAAATGAGGTAAAGGGTTACGAGTCCCGGCCAACAGGAATAAATTGAATTACATATCTATTAAGATAAAGAATCTGCTAAATTACGTATATACATATTTATCGGAGTATAGTTAAAAAAATACGCAATTTAATCTTTAATTTCAGTTAGGAGTAGTTCTTTTAGAACAAGGAAAAGCCTCCCAGGCGCTAGCCTACTTAGACAAAGCGTTAGAGCTAGAGCCCGAACACGAACAAGCTCTACTGAACTCCGCCATTTTGCTGCAAGAACTCGGCGCTGCTGATTTGAGGCATCTAGCGAGACAGCGGCTACTAAAATTGCTCGATAAAGATGGTTAGTTATTTTTATACTGAACCTGTAAGATAAATGAAAATGTAATAGAAACGAATAATCTATACATTTATAGTAAAGACAGATAAGCATGGGTTCGGAAGCATTCAGAAAACCTCAGTGACACCGAAACGCGGAAGCACTATATGGCTTTTTATCTGTGGACAGTGACTCACTAAATTTCGAATCTGTGTCACATTCCCTAACCTACACAACAAAAATGGGATATACGTATAACTACAGGTATATTATGGTTAAATAAGTATATTAACAGAAGAATTATTTTTCAGCGACAAATGAAAGAGTGCACTTCAACCTAGGCATGGTATGTATGGACGAGGGAGACGCTGAGTGCGCGGAACGGTGGTTCCGTGCAGCCGTACACCTAAAACCCGACTTCAGATCCGCTCTCTTCAACCTGGCATTGCTTCTGGCTGATCGACGTCGGCCTTTAGAAGCTGCGCCCTTCTTAAAGCAACTAGTTCGACATCATCCGGATCATGTGAAGGCACTCGTGTTGTTAGGCGATATCTACATTAACTCCGTAAAAGATCTAGACGCCGCAGAAAGCGTAAGTATTTATCTTCTTATCGGTGCCTGAAATTATGTAACACAACATGAGGCTGCTAGATGCAGAGTGGCCTAATAACAAAAACATGATATATTTATTGTAACCTTATTGATAAGGAGGAAATTTAAAATGCACACTTAGGCGAAAATGAACTTAAAGTACTTTTTAATTTGTATTAATATATTTATGTATATTTGTGTAATAATATAATACAGATACATTCAATATTCTAATTAATCTAACTCTTATTATATTGCACTTTTCTAGTGCTACCGCCGCATTCTGGAGCTGGAAGCAGACAACGTGCAAGCGTTACACAATTTATGCGTCGTCGCAGTAGAGCGCGGCAAACTCGCCGTTGCCGAAGAGTGTCTGACGCGCGCGGCTTCATTAGCACCACACGAACATTATATACAGCGCCATCTAGCGGTCGTGCGTGCAAGACGAGCTGCGGTTTCACCCACTCACCCCAAGAGCAATACACCCGGAGCCGAAGTCAAAGCGAGGTGGAACTACATTCCACAGCAACCCCCCGATCCACACGAAACGGACCCTTCATAGCGACATCGCATAAACTAGGACGCAGTACACCAATGGCCAATGTCTATTTTGCATTTCATCAGGGTATTGCATTGATTTCAACGAGCTAAGCATTTTATTCACTCAATCTTCAAAGTTAATTTGTCATTGGCTGTTAACTTATTCCTTCCGTTTAATTCGTTAAACAGCAACAATTGATGTTAATTCAGTTTGCTTAAAAATAATCTTTGGACATTATTTTCCTTTAAAATAAAGTAAGGACAGAATGGAATAAGTTCCTGGAAAATTTTACTTTGTTATTTTTAGAAGCATAATATGAATTAATATGTAATCCTTTGCATTTCGTGATATTTATTGCATTTAGATTTTGTATAGAATCGTATTATGTAGATACTGAAATGAGCTTTCTTCGTTTGCGTGTATACGGTACTATCTATAAAAAGGTTTAAGTGTAAACTCTAATAAATGTCTAGTCACTAAGTTTATTTGGCAAAAATGTTTTGGTTCATAGTTCATATAAGTTGAAACGCAACGTAGTTTGACTTTGTTTCTTATACCTATAGCTAGTGTAGTAGTTTTTAGTTTGTGCTTTGACATGAAACACGAAAAATATAATTACGTACGCATTACAAATAAAACATATTTGTATACCTACATTCCTTTTTGTGAAATATATAAAAGTTTTTAAAAACTGTAGGGTGCGTAAAAACAAAACTGACTGACAAATGACAACTAACAGTTGCATTGTTTTATTTGTTTAAATATTATAATCATAGATTGAATCAGTAATGACAATATATTAATTGTTAATTAATTAAATTGTATCATAGGTTTGGATAATGAAGTCATTATTTTATTTATTTATAAAGAACAAACAAATTCATAAGCAGTATAGAGGATTTATATGTGTCATTTTATTATTTCCTTTTTCTATGTGATTATAATTAGCCTTATTCTTTGTCACCCCGAAAGGATAAGAGATTTCTCACCGGCCTAGACATTGCTACATGAAATTTAAATGTTATGATGATAACATTGTTATTCGTTAGGCAGGACGTATGCCTTTTTTGCATTAAAGTGGAACAACTGTTTCTCTGTTTGTGTGTATATTTAGTAATTATTATTATGAAAGTATCAAAATCGATCTCATGACATTTAAAAATCATTTAGGTAGTTTATTCTTAATAAACGTAAACGTGTTATTTTCATAAAACGCCAATGTTATGTAAAATTAAGGTGATCGACCGTTATTAGAATATGTAGATGTGAAAATGTAATGTTGTTAATGTTTTAAGATACAAAGTACTTTTGTAAAGACGGAATTTTTTACAATGTCTTGAAACATTTCTGGTCGGAACTCCGGTGGGAGAACAATTTGTAAGGACCCCGATATATAAACTATTTGTCGTCAAAACATTTATTTTTATAAAATAAATGATGTTTCAAATATATTGCTTTTTCATTCTTTACATACTTATTGGTTAGGTAAAAGAGAATATTTAACATTGTAATTTTTCCTATAACCCTGGAAATTCTGGTCATCAAATAGCTGGCTAAAATATCAGAGCAGCATGGAACGTTATGTATGATGCACATGGGTCTCGCCTGTATCCTTATTTTTTCAGTATAAATAAATTAAAAAAAAAAAAAAATTGGGCTTAGACCTATGAGCTTAAATATATAGCATTACATCAAGTTAATTCAAAGGTTATTTGTCTTGTGGTGTTCCCCTTCTTATAAGATCAATTCAGTAACAACATAAAAACAAAAACAACAAGAAATAAAATATGCTAGAATTTATGATTTCGTATATTCAATCAACAAAACATTAGGAGAAATATATACAGAATGTTCTAATTAAGTTAAATTATTAAGTACTGTTATAAAGAGTGTAAACAAAAAACAAACAATACTTTTTTTCACAATTCATATTATTGACATAACCTTTTAAAAAAGGTGTAATTTGATTTGTTAATTAATCTTGAATCTATGATGGTTGAAATTAGTATAATTTAACTAGACAGAATATTTACATTTTTGTTAAGTAATAAAATATTTATCCGTTCTTAGCTTATACACTATCTTACTCAAGCTAACTTCAATGACTTCTAAACAATCGAACCCCTATAAATAGCTATTGCTATAACTTAGGTCCCAAGGCAATATAATGCGACAAGACTGAGTGTCCACATAAATACAAAGCACCTTAAATGTAATTCAACATACGTACATATCACAGCGCTTTAAGATGTTCTTGTATTGATATGGGCATCGTCGATTTGACATATATACAGATATAGAGGTATACAAAACTTTTCGCCCACTAGGGCAAGAGAGTATTCTACAGACAATTGTGTTCGTGTGAAAAAAAAAACGCTTAAAGTGTAAAACTTTTAAACAGCCGCGTTATGTTGCCTAAAGACGATACCTTAAAATACCAGACACTAGCAAACTTTATCCATGTCCGCCCCTGAGTGACGGAAACAAGTTCGAATGGAACCGATTCCTCATTCGCTAGATATTTTAATTCGAAGGTCCAAAAATTAATTTAACTTTCATTAGACCGTCGCTACAATTAGTCAACAAAACATCAACAATAGCAATAGGCCGACAAACCGAAATAGTAATACTAAACCGACTAGTGACTATACTCCGTTCCAATTGGATTTGTAGCAAATACAAACAAACAGTATTCACCTTAATTACCAGCAAAAAACCATTACACATTATGCACTTGCTGCCACTATTTAACTACACCTTACTTAATTAATTCAGAATTTTTCAGTAATTTTACAGTTTCACAAGGAATTTATAATCAAAAACTGAAACCTCAGAAATCACTGTCATTGTCATTCTCCTATAAAGATTATCTGTGGATAGAGTTGTATAAAATCGATTTACTTATATTGAAAGTTAAGTGAAAAACAATAATCGATACATTATAATCACAAAAATTAGAACATTATCTTGTTTTCATTCTGACTATATTGTAAAAAATACAAGTTTTACAGTCATATGAAAGAATCTGTAAAACGATCTAATAATAACACGTTCTAATAACGGTCTAATAACACGTTCACTGCTAACGAAAACAATATCGCCGTTATCGTATTCGATACCTCTAAAAACAAGTCATTCATAGAGATTTTATTTTCGAAAAAATGCAGCCGAACTAATGGCAAATTCAACAAAACCATTATGCATTCATGAAAATGGATGTAAATGTATGTTATATGTCGTATCGACATGAACATTCCTATACCAAAAAGGTGTACGTTAATTTTTTTGATGTATCCTTTTCTAAAAATTCATTTGGTACAAAGTATAGTTAAACAATAGTAACATAGAAGTTGTTTTTTCCAAATTCTTTATACTTGGAAAAAACAAGTCTATGTAAGCCTATTTTGCCGCTATTATCAACATTTGGTCCGCCTTATTTTGAACAACATGACTATTTTTCTAAATCAGGGAGATGTTGTGAATGAGAATTAATAAAAAAATAGTATTTCTATATCTAGCGTTTAGAAATTCGGTTCTTTAACAAAAAATATTAACATTTTAAAAGTAATGTACACATGAAAACCGTTATATACACACCAAGTAGATAAGATTTTCAAATATTTTAAAGTTTTGTTTTGAGACTCAACATAATTCTAAAATTTAAAGTAACATGTAACAAATAGTTTTAGAAATTAAAAAGAACCAGACGTATTGTCAACGTAAATATAATATAGTAGTAATAGAGTAATGTTATGTACAAAGATCTAAATATTTGCTTTACACATCAGAGATGATGATATCAAACACTAATCAACCACGACAATTCTTACGACAACATTGTAAAAACAAATCATTGCTTCATAGATCACTTTTAATTTTTACGACAAGACAGTATAAAAAGTATGTGTGTATTTCTTTATAATATGAACTCATTGTTGGGCCTAGTAATTTTATTTTGGTGTATTTCATAATTATGCAATATTATATGTTGATGTGCTAAACTCATTTACAATAATTTTGCATGCTATTTCACATTTTTGTAGTAGATTACAATTGTTATATAAAATATCGAATCATTACGATTTTTATAATATAATAAAATTAAAATACTAAATTTTCCAGTATTTTAATATAGGGTTAGCACAATCAAGGTGAGTATCTGAGTAATCAAGAGAATCCACACTAGGCATACTAAGAATTGCAATGTTGGAACTAAGTTTTTAACGAAACTCTTGAACGACATACAAATTACGGATAACAAAAGAGCTTTAAGGTCTAAAACTTCCCAAATATTACTAAATTAAAAAGCTATTAAGATTGAGAAAATTCGATGACACTGGCAAGACTGTTGCTCTAACCAATTAATCTATCGTATCTCAGACCTCATCATCCGATTCTTCAACCGATTGATACATGCACCTCTCGAGATATTTATTCTATGTATGCTGGTTCAAGCCTGTAGAAAACCGTATTATCTAATGTAAATAGATTTTTAATTTATATAATGCCATCAAGTGCAGTCAAAAAATAATAGTTTTTTAAACTAAAATTATTACTTAATAATATTACTTGGATTATTTTCTGAAATATGTCCCAGCTACCTAATACTTGGGTTTCCTTACGTGTGCACGTAAAAATAAAAGTACTTGAATACTCCTAACGTGACTAGCGTTTGAGTATTCGGGCGGAAGAGACACGACATTATACTCTGTTATCTTAATCAATAACTAATTACTTCAAATGTGTTTATTATATGTATATTGTATGTCTGCAAAAGTTTAGATGCCAAGATCCATGTTTTCTACTAATGTCGGTATAGTGTCCGCCCTTACTAAACTACATACAACGCCATCTAAAATTCACTTCCTAACAATTCCGCAGCGAGAGCGGATTTCTTGTTATACTGTCCCATGGATAAATCCGAACCACCAGCACTACGATCCATTCACTTGTACTCATCCTCTGCATCAAAATCGGGGGTGTCCTCTTCGCCCACTTCCATAATATGTTGATGCTGTTGCATCATTAGAGCACTTTTTTTGTAAGCTGTCATCTCCTGAAAATATTTTGAAGAATACTTGTTATTAGTATTAATGATGAAATGACAAAAATGCTATCATTGTAATGAAGGTATTATAAAAAGTTTGTGGTTTATCATTATAGAACATTTTATCTTTTGAGAACAATAGATAAATGCTGAAAAATTAGGTATTGTCGTTTATAATATCACCATATACATAGTAATGAATTTTTGATGAAAAAACTTACCCGATCATATCTAGCTTTATCTTTTTCACTGAGACCCTCATACTTGGTCTTGGTTTCTGGATCAGCAGCGGCCCAACGCCGGCCGAGTTCCTTCGCTATATCACCCATTGTATATTCAGGGTTGTTGGCCTTCACCTTTGATCTCTCATCATTGCAGAACCAGAAAAAGGCCGATCTGTAGAACAAAAATATAATAAAATAACTATATTACACACATTGTAATAATATAATATTATTAGTATAGTAAATAAGGGAAGGTTCTTCTGTATTTCAAAAGCATTAAAAATTTTCTTCTTAAACATTGCTTCGGTACTTATTTCATCTATAGCATATTATATGAAAGGGTACAGATTTCAAATAAATTATTTATTTATTCATTTAAATAGAACACTTTTGATGGTTGAAAAAGCGACTTATTAGTAAATCTTATTTTTTATTCCCCACGTCACAGTAGAAACGTAGAGTCACAGTTTATTTAAGCAAAATAAAATTAATTTAATAAAGTTTATTTAGTATATTGAGTGTTTATTACCGTCAAATGTTTTATTGAGACTACATTTCATATTAAAATCGATAATTTAAAAAATGCGTGACCATAACTCACAGCGATCTCTTAGGTGCATTTGGATCCTTTGGCTGTTGTCGCTTGCGCCCGCGCACTTTCACATCCTTCGGCGGTACATAGTTCTTCATTTCGAGATCATATCGTTTTTTGTCTTGCTCTGCCATCTCATGGAATCTTAACTTCTCCTTTTCGGACATTGTCTGTGTATTGAAAACAATTAAATTTAATAAATAATCTATCAAAATTAGATACTTATAGAAGACAAATACTTTAATCTACAGTAATCGATAACCACAATACTAACATTCCACCGTTCAGCACATTTCTTTGAGAAAGCAGCAAATACAACATTTTCATCAGGGTACTTCTTCTTGTGTTCTTCACGACAAGTCTGCACAAAGAATGCATATGCGGTCATTCTACCCCGCGGCTTGTTGTATGGCTTTGCTCTAGGCATTCTAGCTTTTGGTGTATTTTGAGATATTAATGCTTGCTGTTGCTGCAATTCCTGTAAATATTAAAAACAGAATGAATACAAATACTGATTTTAAGCATTCTTTAAGACAAAGACAGTAAGATGGAGAAGTAAAAACTTTTTTATGTGAGATTTTCTTGTTGTTTTTTAATTAATATTAATATTATATAATAAATATATATAAAACTAATATTTCCAGTTTAAATTATAAGTAAATACTAAGATTACTTGATTTAAAAATAAGAGATTGAATTAAAAGCTATATACATATATAAAAGGTTAATATAAAACATACCTGTAATGTCGCAGACTGTCTTTGCAGGGCGGCTTGAATTTGCTGTTGTTGTACAGCTTGCAAATGCTCCTGTAGGCTTTGCTGTTGCTGTTGCAGTGTCTGAACAACTTGCTGTTGCAAAGCCGCTTGTGCAACCAGTGCTTGAGCCTGAGCCTGTGTCACTTGAATTAAATTTGGCTGGTTATTTGACTGCTCCAATTTGTTTTGTTGTTGTTGTGACTGTTGCGATTGTGTTTGTTGTTGTTGCTGCTGTTGTAGCTGTTGCAACTGCTGCTGCTGTAGCATTTGCTGCAATGTTTGCTGTTGGTTTTGATGCAATGTTTGTTGCAAATTTTGAGCTTGCTGTATAGCCTGCTGTAAGTTCTGATGCTGCTCTAACTGCTGCTGTAATTGATTCTGTTGTTGTTGAATCTGGTTTTGTTGCTCTTTTTGAGCCTGTTGCTGCTGTTGTTGTTGCAAAGTTTGATGGTTTTGTTGTACAGCATTTGTTGGTTGGTTGCTTTGTTCAGAATCAGGACTTGGGTGGTTTTGAGACTAAAACAAAGGTAAATTTCAAAGGTTTTCTTATATAACATGGCAGAATGTGTAGAATTAATCTTGTATATAAAAAAAAACAGGAAAGGTAAATACCTTATTAATACTTTTAACTTTGTGAAATAATGTGTAGGTGGAAACCTTTGACAGCAAAAATTTATTTATGTTCAAGCTTAAAACAAAAACTTCTTATATAATGACAGAATAAAACGTACATATTATATGCAAAACGCGATGCAAGTGATATAATATGCGGTATTTCATTTTTACATAATTGTGTTTATAAATCAATGCTAGTGTATATTTTTAAATCTGTGTATTTATAAAATAATATATACTCACATAAATTATAAATGACATCACTAAAGGAAAGACTACGTTTTAGTAGTTATACATAATATAAATACTAATTCAATTTTCAAAATCAAATCAAATCAAATCAAATCAAAAATCATTTATTCATGTAGGTAGCTTAGTACACTTATGAACCCCAAAACAGGTAAAAACTAGACCTAAATTACAGTTACACGAAATACTAAAAGAAAAGACTAACTAGAATGATTGCAGAACAATAATATGCGAAATAAGATTATTAATGTTTTAGGGATTACGCACGGACCAATAAAATATTTAATGAAGCTGCTAACAATTACCATGTAAATAAAATAACTATGATAGAGGTTATGTTTGTGTCTTATGTAAATTGTCATTTCGTTGAAATGTCATATGTCATTATTGGTAATAATAAAATAAATGAAGTAAGAAAAGAAAAAAATCCCAATATCTGTTATTTTTAAACGAGGTATATTTTGAAATTATTTTTCAGAATTAAGAAAGATACATTGCAGTAGGTATTTTTTTATTAATAAGGTAAATGTTTAAAAAGCGTCAAAAAGATAATAACGCTGGCTAATTTAAAGCTACTGAAAATATAATAAGTAAAGTATCTGTAATAAAACCATGGGCGAGTACTTTCTATATGAGTCATAGGTATATAGGCACAGTTTGCATCGACGTAAGAAATAAAGGTTGTGCGTAGTAAGTTTAATTTTTTTTAACGTGTCGTATCGTTAGAAGTAGTAGTATTTCGAACTGAAAATTATTAATGTAAAAAGATTTTCTTTAATTAAAATTATTCTTGATTACATTCAATTTGCCGATTAGTGCAAAAAAATGTGATTATTAAAATAGGTAGATAGTCAGTCTAGGAGTATAGATCAGTTTAGGACGAAAATTCAGAAAATACGCTAAACATATTTTAAGTAATCCAACATGTTTTACTTTCAACTTTGGTATTCAATTTTATTTATTTTGAGATCTTACATTTGATATAAGTTTTGGTCATTAAAGACCACGACTGGAAATACGCCCTTTCTCAAATTATAAAGTATACGATTGTATCTAAATTACATCGTTTTTTACTATTCACGTAAAATAACACCGGTCCTACCCAGCGGTTCGGCAAGTACTTGCCTACCTATGTTGTAATTTCAACTTATATGAAGGGTCAATGGTCTCTGTTACCTTAACCTTCGAAATAACTATTGAAAGGGCTATTCTTGGTTTGTTTATACTTAATATCATTGATGACTATTGTAAACGAATAGGTTATGCAACAAATGAACTGTAGGTACCTATCCAAATCGATATTTTAATTTAACAAGTAAAAAGATACATTTTCGTTTTCTCGAAAATTATTGTTTTTTTTTAATGAGTTATATTATTATGCTATGTGTTTTATTTTATTTTATTAATTACATATCGGTATATATTTACCGATGGGGAAGAGGTTTGTTGATTTTCAACGGATCCCGAAGCATACCACCATGGCTGTTGAGGTGAATCTTCACGTGAACTTGAATTCGTTATTAGGCGATAGTCAAAATTCGGCGCGGAATTATCTCCACCATTGTTCGAAAATCCACTTGTCATTTTGTAAGTGTATAGTTGATGAGTAGCAGCCGCAGTACTCCTCGCTATTTCTTCATTTATCTGTTGTTGGTGCTGTATTTCACCCGAACCTCCGGACCACCACGAGGCATCGTCGCGCGCACCCCAAGCGCCCCCCGTCGCACCCCGATCCCCCATATCACGATCCTCGCTTTTGAGCCGACCAGTTTCTTTATCCTCTGCGGCTACTTTTATTTTTATTTTAATCACATTCAAACCATAATATCCTTTTTGTACTGAGAACAACGATGAATTCCAGCACTCCAAATATTTTACTAAAACACTAGCTCTTACAAAACTGCTGCAATTTTCATGACAAAGACTCACTATAATTTGGCAAGGCACATTATAAAACAGAGTCACAACCACTAAAATATGAAAATATACGAGGTTTATAATGTTTTTAATTAAAACTACCGGCAAGTCTCTCTCGACGCACGTACGTTTTGTCTCAATACCAAAGTCAATACAGTTGGCAACGTCGCGCAGCGAGACGCCTAACATGTAAAATATAGTGGCGCCCTCAACGCGCAGCGGCCATCGCGAGTTAAATATTCGATACCCCAAAGAAAGAGAGGGAGATATTTTCTACTCGAACTTGAAACGAGCTCGGCCAGCAACCGGTCAATAAGATTATTAGATAGCGCCGCTCCGACTTGTACCAGTGTTGGTATCTGAAAAATTCTTTGTTTACATTTTTTTCTATTGGTTCTTTTGTGAATGTTTAGGCTACTATAAATTACCTGCTGCTTCGTTATGTTTTACTGCTCTGTATTCAATTTTGTCGCTTTTAACGTCTAGTTTTTTGCAAGTAAAGGTATTTATTTAATTTAAAATTATTAAATAGCTACTCTATACAAATGATGCACGACAAAATAAATCAATAATAGTTGTTCAGTACTTTAACAAACATTTCCTTTATTGTGTCCATTAGTTATTATTTTATCGTTTATATAAAGATATACATACCTTATTTATTAATAAACAGAAAATGTTATACCCCTTTGTTTACTACTTCAGTACTGGACTTTTTCGCATATTTTATTTATAAAGAAAGTCATTTACTGTCCCTTGTTGTGTAAATTAATCGATGATTTAACAATCGATAATTAGCTATGTCATATATTTCTTTTACATAAAAATACCGTTTTCTTCTGTTATAATCTCGCTTAAACCTATATACCTAACCATCACTAAGAATTAATATTGTATTAAAGCGTGAAACAAAAATAAATGACAAAGAGACGATTTGCCAGAAACCCTTATATATATTATTATCTTGAAAATGAGCCTTAAATTTACCAATTCTTCTATCTCATATTACCTTCACTTTACTATTTAGAAAAGTTTTACTAGTAGGTAGGTATGTACTACAGCTACCCATTAATACTTTAATATATACTCGAACCATGACCTATATGTATATATGCCATGTTTATGTATAATGAGGTACGCATTCTGTATAATATTATCACTAATTACTTGTGACTTGATTTCGTTGCGGTAATCGGCAGCCATTTGCTTACAAAATTAGAACGTAAACCATGTAAAACTATAAATATCACTTTTAATATCTGCTCAGTGAAAAAGTTTAAATACAAGAAACAGGAAAAATGCAATAAATATGCTCTATTAGAGTTAGTATTAGATATATTAAATTGAAACTCACCGAGACTATAATATTTATTATTGCAAAAGGAGCACACGATTTCAGCGCTTATTACGTAGGGAACTTCGTGTCGTTCATCGTAACGAAAACATAGAGCGGTAGATGTCATTGCTAAAATCGAATGATTGGTGTAAATTGAAAAACCCGCCTCCTTTCAGCCAATCACAGCCGCGGTTTCGGCTTTGTTGTTATACTTAACTATATGTATATTTAGATTTTCATATCTACATAGAAAAGAAATGCACTCACACTAAATGAGTCGTTCAGCTGCTTTAACTTTGCATTGTATGGCTTATTCCAAACCCACAAGTAAAAATGAATTTGTGTACTAAACCGTTTGTTTTTGTGTGCGTGCATTACTCTGTACAGTGAGGGAGTGTGGTTGTGTCACGAAATACTATTGCTGTAGCTTTGAGCCCGTGTCAATACGTATAAAGAGTTTGGTGAACGTCAGTCGGTATAAACATCCATTTTGTCACAAAAAACTTGAATTTATTTCATTGCTCCTCGTTATAAGGACGAGATTATTGAGTTGGTGGTATTTAAACGGTGTCATAGTGATTTATATTTTGTACTTTCAAGATTATGGAGTTATGAATATTCCGCAATATTGGTAGAAGTGCTACTAATAAATAACTTAAGAAGTAATCCGGGCATCGCGTTGGTGATTGTGATTATTCAGCTTTAATTCGATTGTTTTGTCTGTGTTATCTTTTTAAAATGGACTGTGTTATTGCGTCTTATAACCTCAATCGAGAGGCTTTGTGAGTACGTGATCGGTCCAAGAGAGCGTCTCAGAGAGTAATCAGGATTGACACGAATTACACTTTACCTGTCATATATGATTCAACGCGAATATCAAATGAACAACGGGTTCAGCACAGGAGAAGAAGATTCCAGAGGTAATTCTGACCAAATATGTTGCCTTGTGGATGACAGCGACCGATGCAGGCGACTCGCTGGCAACGCGTCATATAGCAAGCGCATTCAAAAAACTGTAGCTCTCAAGAGGCTAAAGTTGAACATAGATCATCAGGTTTGTCTGAAACATTTCCTAAATACATTTGCCTACCAGTCTCCAAATTTAAGCACAGCAGGTTAATTAATATCTTTTTGTTCTTTCAGGCTAGGCATACATACATTTGCGATTACCATAAAACCATGATTCAGTGTGCTCGAACAAAGCAAAGGAGAAACAAAGACTCGGAAGATGACAGCAATGAGGCTGAGATTGATTCACCGGAAGTAGACTGGTTCCAATTACAAGTCAATACATTAAGAAGGTATAAGAAGCATTACAAGGTTCCAACTAGACCTGGACTCAATAAGTCACAATTAGCTGACGTAAGTATCATGATGATCACATTATTCCAAAGAAGCGATTCCTTACTTTTTTAAACATTTTTGCTTGACAAAGGACTTTTTATTTTCAGGCTATTCAAAAGCACTTCAAATCTCTACCAGTCAATGAAAAAGAGATAGTGACTTATTTTATCTATATGGTGAAGACTAATGGTAACAAATTAGATCATAAAAATGGAATGAATTCTGACTCATTGTAAATTTATTACTCTTCTATTTATGAACTGTAACCTTAATTTAGTATTAGACTATGTTTCCTTAAATCTATGCATTATTGGTAAATTTACACTAATTGTACATAAACTTATTTAAATAAATTGTACATATATTAACCCTGATGTGACTTATATATTGTGTATCTATCATGAAAAATGTATGTACTATTTTGATTTGCTAAAAATTTGATTTAAACTACAATCTCCAATTGATACATGTATAACAGTATGTCTGTGTTAAACATGATTGTTTATATACAAGGGAAAAGCAATTATGGTTGTAAGTATTGTAAAGAGATTGAATAAGAACAAAATGTAAATATATTTACATTTATTTCGATATATTGCTTTAATTTCATCACTCCACTTCTGAATCGGATGAAATTTCAATCCATGCAGACTTCCCTGTCTTGGCATTGATTTCTGCTGTTTTTGGTAAAGTGGCAACAACTGCAAAAAAACAGTAGAGTTAAAATATGGTTGCCTTATTTAAAAAAACATATATAGATAGTAGATAAGTACTAAACATTATGCTCTGTTAGTAATCAAAAATGTATTATTTAAGAAAAAAAAATGTGGTACTGTATTCCATAATAGGGGCCTCCCAACAACCTCAACAATAATATGCAAGAATAATTTATACTATCATTGTTGTCCAATAAAGCCCAAGAAGGCAGTATTTATAACTTAAAGAACTTACTATCATATTTACTAGGCTCAATTATTTTAACATCATCATCATCATCTTGGTCCATTTCTTCCTCACTTTCTTGTTTCAGTTCATTTGTGTTGAAGTTCTTTAAGCGAATACTTAGTTCTTTCCTAATCAATGATTGTCTGTGTTCATTTGTAATAATATCCTTGTAATTGATTCTAGCTCTTTTTTGTCTGTAAACATATAACATGTATTATAACTACTATGTGAATGTGTAAGTATGACTATATAATATTATAATACTACTACCCAAAATCTTTTAAATTCAAATTATTTTTATATTAATCTTGATATAAGCAAAATGACACTAAAAAAAATTATTTCTGTAACTCCTTATTATTATTAAGAATATTATTAGATCAGGATGTGATTGCAAACTTTTTTTGGGTTTGGATAACAAAAATTCTTAAAACAACTAAGCCATGTCAGGGTTTTTCCATCTATTAAAAGATAGTACACAATTTAATTATATTTATCATAAAGCTTGTTAAAAATGTATATAAATTCCTAAACATATAATTTTTTTTTTCATCTTTACCTTAATGTATCATCACTTATAATACTTTTTTTTACAATGTCAATTATCAACTTCCCTCTCTCTGAAGCACTAAGAATTGCTTTGTGCACAATATTTACACTGTGTATAGCAGCACCAGTTAAGTCGAGCAAGCATGGCTCCTTATACTGGTTAATTCCAACAACTAGTAATCCACCTCCAACATTATCTTCATCTACAACAGACATGCACACTGCTTCTTCTATATAGCTTGGATCAGAAATAAGAATACTGAAAGGTTAAATAGTTATATTTAGAATTGATTGATGTGCATTGAAATAGTTTCTCAAATGTAGCTTTACAATTGAAACTAGATTTAATGTAAACACTGAAGAAAAATACTTACTCGCTTCCAAATATGGCAAACGTCAAACAAACTGGATAGTGATATAACACAGTAGGAATGGGATCTTTTTCAGTCATCGTATGAATTATTACTTTGTCTCCTGCCCTTGTTACATCTGGCCGTTTGAAATGTGCTAATGAGGCCAGTGTTGCTATACTGGCACATTCTATTAGGTTACCATCATGGTTCAGAATTTTGACATCGACTCGTATTGACCATACCTAAGTCAAACACAATATAATATAAGTCTAGCCTTACTTGTCTATAAATAAATAGAAAAAAAATTCTTAGCAATGCAAAAGTTAATGACCATTCAGTTGTAATACAAAGAGCAACTAAGAATTGTAGAAAAACTGACCTTTTCTTCAACAACAATACATAGTGATTCTAAATCAATACATTTGGAATCCTTGTAGCATTTCTCTAATAATCTGTTGAGATATACTGTAAGATCTGACTGTCGATTTGCTTCAAATTGTGGTGCTGCCATGGGTCCTACCTCAACATTGATATATAAAATACCTTCATTTGGCCTTATTTGTTTAGGTTGAACAACTTCACACGACACTTGCGCCATAACTCTAAGAGGAACAAAACTTATATATACTTATAGCCTTACATTTAAAGAACATAATCTATTTACTATTGTAACCAAGTCTTACTTGGTTTCTCCCAATGAAGCGATACAGCTTCCATAATCGGAACCGAATGAAATTTGGTGGTTTCTTGTTTCCTTGTAAGTTCGCCCATCTAAACGCTGTGGATACCAAAACATATAAGATACACTTCTAAAAATATTTTAAAACTTAATTTTTAAACTCACATGGCCACTTGTAATTAATTTTTGAACAAAAGCTTTTTCAGAGTTTGATACGATAGTTTCTTTCATGTTTAGCGAATTCAACTAAAAATAACAGTCTTCAAATAATAAAATTTGCAAGTCTACCTATTAACTCTTAATCTCACTCATTTGTAGGTTATATTGTTTTGCTTAAATACAACTTCAAGACAGAAACATCTTTCTTGACATTGACATTTGACATACGTTATCCATTTTAAGTACAGCGTAAAGATAATTTTTGTTACGTACTTTGAAGTTCTTTTCTCAGTACCTACATAACATAAATAATATATAAACTCAAAATATCATTAATCTAAAAATAATTAAAAATTTTAGGTAAGGAATAATCTACCATGAACATCTTGTGGTAGTCTTCTATATTTGTGTACATATTATGCAACTTGAAAATTGAGATTATTATTTTTTAATAGGCAAAATAGTGGGTATAACATAGTATAAATTGAACTTCGCTATCCTTTCACATGTATATTTTGTATATAGTATAAATGTACCAGTAATTACCTTTATAATCACAGGTCAACTTCTATAATTACAATGTCACCTATGTCCCCAAATCTTATTTACATGCTCACCTAATGGTAGCCTTAACAAATGTATATTTTAGTATTGATGGAAACGCTGTCATTATGTGGACATGGTATTTAAATATTTAGGTACTTAGAAATGTACGTCTATTACAATAACAGGATGATTTAACCTAAACTTTTATATAATCAAGTATATAATTATTATCCTCGTTTTATTTATATACCAGTTTGATTTAAACAGATTCTCGGACGGTGCTCGGTCTTCGTTATAAAGAATTAATTAACTTATCACAACAATACAGTTGACTATTTTGTATTATTAAAGTCGGAACGTGGACCACAATCTATGATATTCGTTCTCTTGCTGTATCAATTAAGCTAGTGGAACCTTGTTCGACCATTATGCAACGGGTGTATGTCAAGGAACTGTCTTACATGCCCTATTTTTTCATCACATATATTAAGGGTGTCTCTACGTCTTTTGGCGTAATTGAATATAAACCGTCATAAGGTATACATAATGGACCTAATGACTGTTACCTACTTTGATGTTTATATCATGTCGATTATGCCACCCCCAATGTCACCGCCTCGCCTCCTGGTATTTGTGTAACGGTAATCAGTGTCCATGCACGCCAAGTCATGGATGGACTAGATATTATTTATTCCACCGTTTGCAACGCTACATTTTGCGATGGCGGGGAAGAGAATCCATATCATGGTATTATGATAAGAACTCTTTAGAATATAGATATTAGAAATAAGTATTCCGCAGTCTATTCAAATACATAAATAAAATACTCTTAATTATCGACTTGTCGAATTCATTTCAACAGCTACAGCGACTGTAGTTTCATCTTGAGTGGTCGCAGTTATTTATTTCACGTTTCAAACAGTTTTATTTTATTTTATATTGTTTATAATTGTTGATAAACTTTGTCTTACAATAAAGAGTGCAACTAAGCTTATTTCTGCATGCTCAGATGGAATAGCACCAAAAAAGGCCCTCGAGAACTTCGTTAATGGAAAACATTTACGCATTGGAACTTTTCAAGTAAGTAAATAACATTGTTTCAAATTGAAAAACTGTTCCGTCCGTTCCGTGAAAAATATAAAGTACTATAACTTTACGTAGTTGTACCATACGTTTTATAATTTTAGAATTATCCCATGAGCTGGTCTGAGAAGACAGAAAATGGATCATATATCGGTCGCGGTGTTGCTTTCGTGATCTTTGAGATTTTGCAGAAGAAATTTAATTTTACATACGATGTTGTGATTCCTGAGGGGAACCTTCTTCATAGTGAGAAGACAAACGAGGAAAGTCTACTGGGGCTTCTTAGAAATAAAGTAAGATATTGAACTTCTTAACCAGACCTTATCAACTCTGTCCGATCATTATAGATATAACAACTATCTAAACCGAAATTTTTCCAACAATCTCTTCGCTATGTCGTATTGCTAAGTCCAGAACATTTTTAGTTTTTCATCTATTCAGAGTTAGTTTAACGATAGAGGTGGACAAGCATGGAGGTATCTTAGTGATAGGTGACATACCCCAGCCTATAGCATCTAAACTAGTCGCTGTTGACATGTTTTGGCTTGGAATACGCGGATATCGACAGACCGCCATCGAAACGAGAGTAACTTTCACGGCTTTTTTATCTGTGGACGGTGGTTCGTGACGCGAACGGAATTTCGATATTCCTACCACCCAATTAATACCAGATTTCCAGACGAAGTCCAACATATTTCAAAAAAAGTTTAAATTGATTAAATGTTGGACCTGGTGCGGATCGAACCCACGACTCGATGATTTTTAGCCGTACATTGCTACCATCTACAGAAAATCGACATGGCGGTAGCGTTCGTCCCAATTCTCAAGAATTCGGACAAAATGGTCACATTTTCCACTGTACTGGACGAAGGCGAGTGGAGAATGATGTTGAAGCGTCCAAAAGAATCCGCCGTCGGTTCGGGGCTTCTCGCGCCATTCGACGAATACGTTTGGTAAGAACATTTTTCATGTATTTCACTTATTTCGTACAAATGACAGTTCTTTTTTAAACATACTTAAGCTAATTTTCCTCTAGGTTTCTTATTTTAGTATCAGTTGTTTTGTATGGGCCATGTATGACGTTGCTGACTGGTATCCGCAGTAAACTAATGCCTGACGAAGAAAGATACGTTCCGCTTTGTCCAAGCGTCTGGTTTGTTTATGGGGCGTTTATTAAGCAGGGAACAACACTATCGCCTTCTGCTAGTAAGTTAATACAATATTAACAAACAGGCAATAAAACTCTTTGAAGTAGAATCCCTCGTGGAACTTACGAATTCACCTTTCAGCTATGGTTAACTGAAATTTAGTTTTTTAAATAAAACTTTTTAACGGTTTAAAACGCGATGTATATTACTTGTAGTACTGCAGCAGCTGAAACGTCGGTATGTGGTTAAGATAATTTTCAAATAAGTTTAACTCATATATGTATATCGCGTTTTAAGCCGTTAAAGCGTTTTATTTAAAAGAACTACCAGTGTAAATTAGACGAAATTAAGTCTTGTCTGAAAGGTAAAAAAATACTAGTTGCACAAAAACACAGGTACCTTTAATGCAAAATAATATACAGTAAAAGGCATTACCTACAAAACAAAATTCAAAACTATAGACTATAGTATAGTTAATAATGAATAGAGCAATATTCTAATGCCTATTCATTTATCACTTACACATGTGTTCCATTAACATCCAATACTGTCTAATCGTTTACAAAATCGTCTTTATGGTGATTTTACATAAAACATTAATGCTATAGATACAACTCGCGTACTCTTCGCGACTTGGTGGCTCTTCATAATCCTTCTATCAGCTTTCTACACGGCCAACCTGACGGCCTTTTTAACGTTATCCAAGTTCACATTGGAGGTGGAGACAGTGCAGGATCTATACAGCAAGAACTATCGCTGGATGGCTCCAGAAGGTAGTGCTGTCAAATATGCTGTTAAAAACGTAAGTTGACATATATAGTTTAGTAGTTAATATTATCTATTAAAGAAGTTAACTTTTAAAGCGATTTATTTTACATAGCCTGAAGAAAACATTCATTTTCTATATAAATCAATTACGGATGGTCGTGCGAAGTTTCTCACGTTGAAATATGATCAAGATTATCTAGAATTTGTATCTGACGGAGCGGTGCTTGTGCAACCGAAGATCACGCTCGAACACATGATGTATATGGATTATCAGAAGAAAACGAGAGAAGGAATACCCGAAGCTGAGAGATGTACATACGTGCTGTCTCCTGGAGTTTTTATGTCGATGCGACGGGCTTTTGCCTATCAACATAAATCGAAATTAAAGCCATTGTTTAATTCAGTGTGAGTACCTTTACTTTAGCAATGTGTTACTTAGTCAGAAACTTAGCGTTTGTATGTTTTGTGGGTAGAATGAGAATTATTTTCTTCTTACAAACCATATGCTACAAATAAGTCAATCAGTTTTCTAACCTTTTACTAAACTATTTACTTTATGTCCATGCTGATACGCTAAACTAATCTTATACGTTACATTAAGTAGACTTGCTTGCAACTTTAGAGGTATGTCAGCAACGTACGCGCCGATACTTAATTTCGTTCGGGTAAAAAATGTGGTGCGTATTTTATATATGGCGTAGCAGTTAAACATTATTAAATTGAAATCCCGTTTCCCCCCTGTGGGGCATGGGAATTTCTGTGTCTGTTTCACTGATCGGTTTTATTTACAATAGTTGATCAAACTTTTGTGCACTGGCGGACCAAAGCAATCTATTGCTTCCCCTGTCGCGCTTAACACAATGCTAGGTGATACGTAACCATTTAGCTATAGACGCAGAGGATCATTGGGTATATTAAATTCTAAAATGAAGCTATCGGCGTTATTGACAAATTTGGCAATCACTCTTAAAAACGGTAAATTGCATGAATAAACGACGTTTTCAGTATTAAAAAGATAATACGCTCTGGAATCCAAGAGCACATATCGCGAAGAAATTTACCAGACACTAAAATTTGTCCCCTCGACTTGCAATCTAAGGACCGACAGTTGCGTGTCACGGATCTATTAATGACGTATTATATTATGGCAGTCGGGATGGCCACGGCGGTAGCTGTTTTCGTTGGAGAGGTAAGGTCATGCGTAAGATTTGGAAGTGACTGGTGAATTTAGATATACGAGGTAGTACAAATGTGAATAAAAAATCTTCCGTGCGAAATAATTAAATTGCAGCATTAGCCAAGCGTGGACAAGCAAATGAAGGGTTAAACAACAGTGGGCGTGCAACTTTTATTTATTTTCATTATATTTTGTTAGCTACCGTATCACTGATATCGAAAAAAAAATTATTTATTAACTTATGACTTACAATTCTCTTGCCTACAGGCAAGTCAAAGTCAAAGTCAAAAATCATTTAATCATGTAGGTAACTATGTACACTTATGAACGTCAAAAAATAATTAAAGAATCTAACTTTACATTTACTACCAGTTCTCAAATCTAGGGCGTAGAACAAACGAGAAGAACTGGCAATAAACTCGCCGTCACTCCTTTTATCGCCAACTTTCATTTTACATTCTTGATTTACTTTTAGTGCACTACATAGTTTTCCTTGTAAGAGCGGGTTCCTCCCACCGTAAGCATTTTTATCATTTAAATATTGATTAATGTGATAATAACCCTTTTCAAGCAGTTTTTGTTTTACATACGATTTAAACCTATTTACTGAGAGCGCTTGCACTTCGCTGGGGATTTTATTAAAGTATCGTATGCAGTTACCTTGAAAAGAACTACTACTGAGATCGCAAAAAACTCCAAGTGCATTATTGGAGCTTTTCCAGGCGTTCAAAATGTCGGAAATCAATCTAATTCCAGCATCGGTCGTGGATCAGCCCCTTGTAAAGCCATACTGCAACAAGCAGCAGGCAGACAACAGTCCTAGTATCAAATAGTAATAGCCAATAGGTTGTCGTTTTTACCCTTTGTGTACGGAATTATATCAATAAAATAAATCCCACTCATAACCTGCAAAACATTAGTGCGAATGAGATTAAATAATCTAATTATAATCAACGAACGCAGTTAATGGCGATTGCATTTGATTGGAGTCCCACCTGTGTCACAAAATTTCCATCTTTAGGAAAAATCACTAATATTAATATTTATGTAATGGCGTAAATTTTCAGATATCAATAAGACGATATATATTTAAAAGGTGCTGTGAGAAACAAAAACTGCGGCGCAATATGAGGCAAGTAAAACCGATCACGATTGACGAAAGCCAGCCCCCACCGTACGAATCACTGTTTGGAAAGGCGAAGAGAGGACAAACTAAGAAGGAGATGATTAATGGCAGAGAGTATTGGGTGATTAATAAAGATAATGGAGAGACACGGCTTATTCCTGTTAGGACACCGTCGGCACTTCTGTATCGATAGTATGCTATTTACTCTACATTACGGCTGAAAACAGTAAATTATTTTTCTTAAATGTGCTTGGTAATTTAAGAATAATATAGTCAAAGAGAGGGACTCAAAGATAACTTGCTGTACTGGTCAAGCAGCGACCGGCAATAGTTGTTGGTTTAGCGACCACTCTGTAAAATCATATTTGCCATGTTATTTAAAAATGGAACGATTTTTCACCCCGCAACATGACGAAAGAGGTAACTTATTATAGGTTTAATTTAAATTTCAAAGTCAAATTCGTCATCGATTTTAAAGTTCTGAATTGTGCCAATTTTTAATTTCTGGGCATTTTTGCGAAAAATAATAGACAAGCCTTGGCCGCAACTAAGCATTGATGGGCTTACGTATATGTGCCTCGGTCCACATTCACACGTTCGTCCATCCATGCCTCTCTTGCCAGCCGCTGCAGTATAAATGGGAAAACACAACACTGTCACGGTTATGGACAATTTTCCGTTTTTGGTATGGTTTGGGATTGTGCAAAACAGACAACAGTATGTAATGCTTATTCGTATATCTATAGCTATAGCGCATCTAACGTTCGAGATTATAACTAAATTATTTTAAAAATAAAATTTTTTCAATTTATTTTCGATTTTTAAATTATATAGTGCCTTCATGTGCAATAAATGTGAAAAATATTAATGTTTTTTAACTAAGATTATATCACTAATATTTTCTTAAAAATCAATATTGTGCTTAGCTACGTATAAGTTTTAAAATGTCTTTAAAATAAAGGTATTCAAGGTAAAATAAATGAACAATAAACTTTGTGTCATTATTATATTTTTGTTAACTGTGAATACATCCACATTTCACTAACATTCGAATTATTAACAATAATAACTGTCCCATATGTTTAGACGCTTCTTATATTAATTATTATTTCGGTATGGTTTTCAACATTTTGTAAGGGTTTAAGTATTACCTGTACTTTAACTTAATAAAAAATCTTTAAACGGTTTAAGGCGCAAAGTATGCACTGTAATGTAGGCATGGCATAAATGACTCCTGCATCGGTCCGAATGCCGGTCAAACCACGCCTCACACGTATCTTGGTCTTTTAATCGACAATAAGTTTAATTGGAAACTACACGTGGAAAGGATCTGCAACAAGTTGAGGGCTATTCTGTCTAATTTTGCGGTGCTCAAATATAGGCTCCCCTTTTCCACACTGAAGCTTTGGTACAACGCCCTGGCGGACTCAGTTATCGGATACGGGCTTAGTAGCTATGGACGAACATTTAAATCTGTTTTACAAGATTCGCTACAGGTGCGTATCTTCAAATCAATTGTACCAAAATCGGTTAAGGCGAAGTACATAGAAAGCGAGGGGGGTTTGTTTGAGTATTGCAAGGTATTGAACGTTTTCAATAAAGTAAAATATTTTATACTTTGTAAAGTAATTGAAAAAGTGAAAACGTTCCGTCGCTCAAGTATAGATCTAGACCAGAAAAATTAAGGAAACTTGATTATATACCCAGGTATGAAATGCTGCTAACGAGCAATTCGTATGGCAAACGTACCTGGCAGTACATGTTACCTCTGTACTTGAGCGCCTTGGACAGTAATACGCACGACATGCTGTTGGATAGGCCGGATAGATGCAGGAGATTTTAAAGAGCTTTTATAGGTGTATGTCGTAAGGTACCGAAGCCGGTTCGCATAAACCGATAGACGGTTTCTTTACCGATTTAATAGTGTGAAATAAAATGATAATGTAAAAAAAAAAATGTTTTTCTAAACATTGACCATTATATTTCGACGCGATCTTTCCCATGCTTTATAGAACCGCGGTCAACGGATGACGTAGTTTTAATAAACTAATTCATTGCGTGTTTAAAACCGTTATTGTTTTGTTTGACATGGATACGAAAAACCTAAAATATTGAAAACCATATTTTTGACATTGAATACATTTATCACCATTGTTTTCAGTACAAAAGTTGAAAAGCCTATTCTGGTCTTACAATTATATTAGTAGATAAGTTTTAAAAGGCTAGCTTCGTTATTACTGACATATACCACTAGTATGAGTTTTCATGCGATACATTTATCAGCTCTCTGTCTAATACTAGGGTACAGCACAGTTTACTTGAAAGCACATACCTTCAAAGATAATATAGGCATTACTTATAACAATAATGTTAGTTTAAACAACTGATACTTTTAAATGCTTTTAGGATATATCTCAACCAATTAACTAAAATTTTCAACTTACATTCTACATTAACATATTATAAGACGATCACAATTTTTAAGTAAGTATATAAAACAAACAACTATAAAACGATACGTCCTAGCATAATTTGTGACGGGTTGTAAAAAAATGTCTGATTTGATGAATATTATTTTTTAGTTAGATTATTTTCAACTAATTTCTGTTATATTTTGAAATGTCATTCTTATTGTAGAGTTTGAGTGTCACAAACTACATAATATTCAAAAAACATTTATAATATAGCCTAAAAATGCACACTATATCATTTGGTGTGAACAGTATTTGATATAATTAACCTATCTAACGATTGAATTTATTCAATCTATACAAAATTATCAATAAATTAAACTATTATATTTTAACCATTAACATTTTAACTCTAGCAAATAACTAATTTATCTGTATCACCGTGTGTTTGTTTAGTTGTACACATTAAATTGTAGTGTCTTGGAATTCATTACGTAGATTCCTGAAGTATTGTAGTATGTATATATGCATTTTTATGCCTTTTTCAGTTGGTTAAAGGCGACGCGTTTAACAACACTCTATAGAAAAGTGAAATAACAAATGATTACGTTTTAGGCTTTATATGTCAGTCTGACATATTGTAAATACAAGACATAAAATGAAATGTACATTTCATAATTCACAAAATAGCGAGAAAAGGCATTTAGGCCCTTATCCCACGGTCATTTTTTAATATCTTACGCACTGTAAAGACTGTGCAATAGATATTAAATAGGTTATTAAAAAAATTAATGTCCATAAAGAAGACATTGGGAACGTGTCCAAATATAATCTAAGGATCAAGGACAATAGGAGACATAGTCATATAGCGGCTGAAGTCTTATCAAACGAATCTTGAGTCGGTCTTAGACATAAGATGCGCGATTCGGATAAGTCTATCTGAATAGAATCCACGTGGAAAGTGGAAAAACCAGGTCGACGACCTTGTCCAACTGAATGTGACGTCATATTGTACTTCCTACATCAGGATCCTATGAAAAAAATGTGTGCATTGCCTAACTACAGTTGTATCAATGGACTGATTATTATCACTAGTGTTTTTAGTTTTATTAACCCTGAATAGAGAAGAATTACTCTTAAACATTAAGTGGTGTTCTCAGTATTACATTTTATGACTATCATATATATTATACACGTGAAAATTTTTACGGGAATTAAAAAGAGCACGTGAAAATGTTTTTTTTTTAGTTTCGTGGTATAGGAAACCAAGAAACATTCGATCATCTGGCGAAGCTGGCCCGTTACTACATTTACTATCGATCTTTACTTACATCTACACTCGCGGAAACGACTTTGGATGTATAGAAACAGTACATTTGATGTGATACTCTTAAATCTAAGAACACATTGTATTTGCAACCTATTTTTATATTTGGTAGCATACGTCTTACAATATTTCTGAGGTATACACGTCTTGGTGATACTAAACAAAGTAGTGACAGCTGTGCGTAGAACTATTATGCTTTTAGAGTCTCTGGATCAAAATAATTCTTTTAAAACACGAAATTCTTAAATATTACTATATAACCCTGACGCAAATGTAACTTGCCGAATGTGGTAATCTAAAAAAAATAATACTATCAATGAAATGCAGTTTTGAAAAGCATCAACAAAATAAGTCGCATTAAATATAATTTGTGAAACAAGCGATGTGTTTGGGGACGTCCAAATTCGCCATGTGCTAGGAGGCGACCGCCTGTCAGACCGCCAACCGATTGTCTCCTATTGGAGATGGCAGCAGTGAGCTGAAATTATAGTAATAAGATATGATACAGATATACCTAATTAAATCCTACTTAACTAAATTTGATGTCGGATGACAAATAAATTAATTATTTCACTGCAGCTAATAAGACAAGCGGTCTTTTTAGTTACACCATTATGTACAGATAGATTAATAATGCATTTTTTGTTTGTTTGCGCATCGTTTCATCGCGTTTTCCGTTTATGAAACGACTTTCTTGAAATAAAGATGTGCTATGGTGGTCCCGTTATAAGAAAATTTCAAAAATTGTAGAGCTAGTTTGTAAATTTGCTAAATACAAAGAACAAAACATGTTATGTTATTCCATTCTTGTTATCTATAAGTAATTAATAAAACTTTTAGGGCTCTAAATTCTTACCCGCACTCCAATGCATCCAAATTCCTTGCAGTTGGGTTCCCTTGATTTCCAGTGCCAATGTTGGAATTCACTGATTCTGTTCGCGAACCCATATTTCTTTGTCTGCACATGTATGGTGTAACAACCGGCGAGGGAGTGCTTTGTTTCTAGAAAAAAAAATAGATAGACAACGCGTAAGTATTATAAATTTATTTTACACTATCTACTACATAATAATTAATCAACTTTTACAATTTACGTCAACAGTTTATATGCTTTAGACACTATGATGTTATAAATAATAATTATTACATTTTATTTTACCAGAAAATAAGTTTCCAATTTTGCAGGACTACTTCATAAGTAATCATAGTGGAGGCTTTATAACAAATGCATTCGATCGATATGTTTGCATAAGCAAAGTTTACCTATTGATTTTTAAATAAGCCACCTGAGGCCTTCAAACATAGTTATTTTTATCGAAGGCTTTTAAAATTTGAGTGCCAGAAAAGGTGATTCACTATTTTAATCCACCAGTAGGTGGAAAATTTCACTCAACCTTTTTGCATAAATGTTCAAACAAATCGTAAGCATATTAAAATAGCGTTATATAAGTTTTTAAGCAATTATAAACAAGCTTGCTTGCAATACAAAAGCAAAAACGATACTCAGTCGTACTCTTACAAGCATAAGACTGAAAGTTAATTGTGTTAATAATTTGATAAATTGTACGTGCATTTTTATCTGTCACTAAATTGTTTATCTGTTGCTTGGTACACTGGAATTATTTGTTGACAGCTATTAATTAGATAAAACTGTAATTTTATTTTTATATCGTATCATAGGTAACCAGCGTTGTGCATACTTCAATTTTTAGAGTAGATGTAAAATGCATTAATGGGACACGAAGCACTCTTGCGCATTAACATTAATTTAGGATTCGATTATAAAAAGCGAACTGTAATAAAACTAGGTTAAGTTCAATGCAAACATTTTACTATTTTTAATACATTTTCATAAGTACAAATATTTGGCACAATGTTAAAACTATTCATGATCACAATTGGCAACAGTAACACTATTCAATATCGTACAAGATATGTATGTATTTCTATATATATTTTTATGCGATACAAAAATAACCTTTGATTATAAAATTGACTAAAAATAACAGTCACACTTCTTCAAAAAGGCGAGTCGCCTAACGCCACGAAGGCTCGATCCGTCGATTGCATCTCCTTGAAAAATATTACCGAACCCTTATTGTTTCTAAACTGTAAAACTGCAATTGAAAAAAAAAGCTATTTTGTACCTACTGTCCATAAGTCAAACTACATAAACCGCATGCCTCATCACACGGTTTTGTATCGCCTATTCGTTGTGTAAAAGAAATTAAAGAAATACAATCATGGGTAAAGATTAAAGAAGATGGTAGGATTAATATTGTTATCGGGCAAGAAAGAAAGATATAAGGAAAAAATTATAAACAGAGAAATTGTATAGCGTGCCCAAAATATCTTACCTGTTGATTTGGCCCGCAACACGTCGCGTTATGGCATAAGTCGTTAGGCGGACAGTGCAGTGCGCACGGCGCTTCTGCTGACGAACTTATCATCTGTGGAAGAATTGGAAGAAATTAAAAAGGAAAGAAGAAAAATAGAGAAAATTTAACTGTGACTTTGCCTAAGCCGTCTCTTATTTAGGCCTTATTAGGCGGAAAAGCAAAGTTATTACTCCTTATTTCAATAAAAAACCTTGAAGCAATCAATTAAATAAAACGCTTTAACGGTTTTAAACGCGATATGTATTAATTAAACTTATTATTTTACCTACGTGACCACGACTTCTGAAAAACGTCTGAAAAGTCGAGCCGTAGTTAAAAAAATCCATATATGTTTAACTATAAATATCGCGTTTTAAACCGTTACAGTGTTTTATTTAAATGTGTACTACTCGCGTAAACTACAGACAGTATTTAATCGGACAACAATCGAGAATAGTATAAAAATTAATAATCACCTCATTTCCATCTAGGGGCAGTTCTACAAACTCTGGCTGAATCGTCGTCGAGTGAATACCTTCGTTGTGAAAGAATTCCTTAACCTTTTCCGCTATCTTCATATATTCTGATAAGTTTCTACACCTGATTGACAGAGGAAAAAGATATATAGCACCACATAAGTAGCAAATAATCCCAGCTAATAATAATGTATGTACGCGATCAAAGGCACACTAACACATACATTTTATGACCAGCTTTACGACGTATTGTTTGTTAAAATCTTAGGTACAATCAATTGTTGGATGATTGAATATTTATCAAAACATATATCGATAAAGTGCTGATATCAAAGGGTATTTAGAGAACTTTTAACTGTACGTAGATAGTGACAACCGTGGAGGAATCTATGTATATATATATAGGACATTACATCATATTTGTAGATTATTTTCTATACTTCTACGAGTACAAGTTTGTTTACATAATACAAAATGCATATAAAATCTAAATTTAAGTTTCAAATCAATTGAACTGCTTCCTTGAAAGATCGTGAGATCGCTTCTATCTGTCGTGTAAACCACATCTAATTTGAAGTTTCTACTTTTTTGCACAAGAAGGCTAGCTTTTAAATTTAACAACAAATAGTTAAAATAAAACACTAACGGTTTTAAACGCGTATATATATTTGTTAAACTTGTTTGAAAATTATTTTAACTACGGCCCGACGTTTCGTCTTCTCGGTGTTCCAGCTGTGGCAAAGCATCCGAACGTTGGGCCGTAATTAAAATAATTTTCAAACAAGTTTGACTAATATACATCTCGTTTTAAACCGTTAAAGTGTTTTATGTAAATGTGTACTACTCGCGTAAACTACAGACAGTATTTACCAATAAAGAAGCGAAATGCAGACGCATCGGTTCACTGACACAAGACAAGACAAAAGCCCTGGGCGAGTGCCAAATAGAATTTAATTTCGATAGAGTTTTGAAAAACAACGTAAAACTGGATTATCTCGTTGCCAACAAACTGCGAGGCTTTTACAATTTTTCCGGTATCGAAGTGGAACATTTCGCCGGATTAAACTTTGTACATCGCGTTTATTTTTGAAAACCTCGTTCCGTATATAGTATAGCTCTTCAAACAAAACCACAGCGACCTCGCTAATAAGATTATCAAAATAAAAGTAAACTTTTAAATCACTTGTTGATTGCTTTTCGTTTGGAACTAATTACTCAATTAGTTCGAGTTAACTAAAACGAATAAAATTGAACCTTGACGAACTGTTCGTACAATAAGAAAGATTATCTGTGCTAACAAGTTTTAAACTTGTGCGTACTTGAGAAACTAAACATACTTTTTAGATTTAATTCTAAAATAAATCGACTTATCTTATTTCAAAATGATCGAACCAAATTATTGCTTTAATGCGCAAGAACATTTTTTTAAGACACCTTAGTTAACTTTGATTAAATCATCTTCTAAATAAAACACTTTAACGGTTCAAAGCTCGAAATATATTAGTTAAACTTATTTAAATAAATATTTTTAACTACTGCTCGACCGTTTCGTCATAGTTAGTATTTACGACGGAGAAGATGGATGATATTTCGCGTTTTAAACCGTTAAATTGTTTTATTTTTATGTGTATTATTCGCATGTAATACTGGCAGTATTAAGTCATCATCTTGAGGAAAGGGTACCTGAATATTATTTAATTAAGATGCGATGAGCAAATTTTAAGTCTACTTGTCAATTTCATAGTCACCACGAAGTTTACCTAATGTGTGCGCTTGCGATGATCCTGTCACCAGCTAACTGCCACACGTGGAACTCGTGTACCGCTAGCACACCGTCAACTTCATCCAAAAGGCGCCTTTGTATAGCATCCACCTGCACAAACACATTTATTTGCAATGCTATCGATAACGAACGAGCGCGCTAAATTCAGCGATGATAACTAAATATTGGATACCTATTGCGTTACTGCATCCTACAAGAACCCAGCAGAATTAGTGAAGTCTATCAACAGTTGGGAACCAACTTAAATACAATAAGCTAATGCTACATGATCTGATCATGTATTAGCAAAAATTTAGTTGTGAGAAGCGTAGTTCAACAGAAGTGAAATGTCCTGGATCTCAGGTAAACATAATAAATAATAGTTTGAGTGCACCTTTCCAAATGGGTATTAATTAAACATATTAGACTGTAAAAAGAAGTTGTTGATTTTATAATTATAGCTTTTTTACATAAATTTTAAAATTTAAACTACCCTCTCGATCCGATCGCACGATCACATCATTCCGCGCCGTCATCAGTAAATTTTTTAAATCTTTGAAGTTAATTGAGGTATAATAATTAAAATACATAGATTAAACATCGAAAATAAATTTAAAAACTTTTCGACTCGGGCAGGAATTGAACCGGCATCGTCAGTTCCGTGCTGTTGCTCTAACCAATTGATGTACCGAGTTTTTCCAACTTATTGACTGCACCTCTCGCGCAATTAAATTAAATTAAAATACATATTTGTTTTGTTAACACTAACAATAAATGTAATTTTTGTTAACATGCGGCATCGTTATCACAAAACAAACTCTACTTATCAGTGCAACGATTCTTTTGTTCTATACACAAACCACACGTGTCGCCGCTACCTCGTTTATTTTTGTCGCTCTAGTTCTCAAAAACAACATGCGAAATTCTGTGATATTAAGTATTTTCAAATCTCTGAATCCAAAAATAACTTCCTGATATTTTAAATAAGCACTGTAGTATTTGAGTTTTGCAGATCTCTTTTTTACGCAGTTTGCTTGTTAGCGTTGAGGCACATCATTCTAGTTTGTTTCATATATTTTGTGGGTAAAATATATAAAAACTGTGCCTGCGACTTTGTCCGTGTGGAATTGTTATTTTGGAAAACAAAAGTTATTTTCTGAAATAATCTCCTCAGCTTTATAAATTAGCACCCACGACGTCGTCCGCGTCTTATCGTTCTTGCGTGGTAATCGTAAAAGATAGACACATATTTTGCGGGGCATTTTTTGGATCATTTGAGGAGAAATCATTCTATCATATGTATTTATTGTTTCTAGAACCGTTTTCGCAGCGCCCTCAACGAAATCCCTCGATAAATGGCCTATCACAAGATGTTTCAATTCAAATCAGTAATTCCTGAGATTAGAGCTTCCAAACAAACATACAATTCAGCTTTATAATATTAGTATAGATAAGAAACTCACCTGTATATGCGTGGGTACAGTCTGCAGTAAAATAAGCGCAGATTCTCTCAACAGTGGCCAAACGGACGTCAGGATTAAGATCACCAGGACTATACTCAGGGCCGGGTCGATGTAGAAGCGGTATTCCCACTCCGTCAACCAGACCACTAACGCTGATATTACTACTATTATTGAACCTAAAAATAATTATTTATTATTGTATAAGGTCAGGTCACATAGATTATACGGATGGAATAAATGTGCATTAAAACATTTCCGCTCTTGTGTATCGTACAGCATAAGTCATAAAGGAAGCGGAGTCGTAGTTTTAAACCGTTAAAAGTATTTAATTTAAATTCGTATAGTATTTCAATGGGATCTAGATTTTTCCTGTGTTATGCCCTTTCTACTAAGCATTTCGTGATGTAAGTTCAACGCCATATTTTTGCATTCTTTAAACGTTAAATACTTTAATGTTTTTCATATGTTAAAAAAATTCGACACGAGCGGTTTAAAACCGGCATTCACAGCGTTCCTTGCCGCTGACAAATAATAACAACAACTAAACAAATTCAATAACAATAAACTTTTAGGACAGCTTAAAATAATTGTAAACACAATATAGATTAGATTTAAACGTAAGTATTCCAATTAAATTGCCCGAGAAAGTAGAGCAAAAAAACACGTTCAAAACATTGACAAGCTCACCTACGTAAAAATATTCTTATCTGTGTCATTCAGTCTATTTGCTAAGATTTGTATTATCTGCTTGCTAAAATGTTTTGGGTCACAGAACGAGGCTTTAAACTATGTACATACAGCTGAACATACGTGTGTACTTTTAACAGATTTACACCAATATCAAAAATTATCTACGATAGTGAGACATTGAATATAACTAATCTTGTAACAATTTGAGACTTATTTTTGATTAGAACCCGACCGTTTTAGATGCTTAACACAGCAAACATGGTCAAGGTCCATATGTATCCATGACCAACACCAAAATAAAATACATTTCAGGAATTGGTAGAAAATAGGAAACGGTGCTCCTCTCTGTGGTTTTGCATGAGTATTTTAAGACTAAAATAAATTAAATGGTATTGTCTGTACATTACACAAGTTGTACACATTCACATAAAACACTTTTTAATCATTTAAAACGCGAAATATATATGTCAACTTATTTTAACTAGCTTTCAGCTAGTTTCTTCAAATACCAACAACGAGAAAACAGATGGCGCTAGACTTTGACATTAGGGACACTCTTCACATTCAGTCCCTCACATTTGATGAATGAGTCAACTAATAACAGATCGACTTGAAGTACAACAATAAATTCAACGGGAAAGAGTTTTAATCAAATTAAAGAAAATTTAAACATGCGGGAAGCCGAAAAAATCAGATCTGCGCGTGTTTATCTTGCTTTAATGATATTTAATTGTAGAAAACCAGTTAAGGATCCTTGGGTTCCACGACGGTGTATCAGCCATATCTATGTTATTTGATTGCCTACTCGTACCGATAAAGCGTGTATGTAATAATTGATTCCCTATATTACGATAGCGGTTAAACGATAAGATTGACTGGAAGAAAGTGGCACAAGGTTACGAATGTTCGCATGTTTGTTCCCAAATTAGTGTCAATGGCATTCGGTTATCGAACTATAATACTGCCGAATTATATTTAGGATTAACCTTTAATTCTTTGTTTTCGCAGCAGTAGGACTTCGAACTTCACTTATAATTATGTATTTAAAAAGGACAGTTTCATATTATTAAAAACCGTAAAATTAATAAATTTAAGTTTAAAACTCACGCCTTCAGAAAATTAGTGCACAATGCGCTATAAAAAAATCTCCGAAGTTTTTACATGAAACATTTTTAACTAAAGCGCGTAATATATAAGTCCACTTATTTATAACCACGATCCAACAATCCCGTTAAATCAAAAGATTCATTTTAAAACGTAATTTAATAATTTTATTTATTTTCTAAATGAAGTCGCGGGCATCCGCTAGATAATAAATTGATAAAAACAAAATGTAGATGTTAATCGAAGCAATAATTAATAAGCAGCTTTATATTTTAATTTGATACCATAGAAATTTAATCATAATAAATTCGGGTATTACGCGTCCACTTCTTTCTAAGTTTTCTATGTATAACCCATAGATTTGTTTGTCTTTACAAAATTACTTCGAAAAATATTAAATAATCCTTCCTGTCGTTCATACGTTTCGTTGGTTCAAATGGAATGTTCGTTATTTTTTCATTGACGGACTACTTATATGAATAATAAAAACTGTATGAATAAACCGGAGACGATCGTTTGGAAGTCATCCTGAGATGTGATCATTAGAGAATCTCTCACGCTAAATAATTGGACCAAAAGCATACAGCCCCCGCCCCCCTAATACTTAAGACACAAATCCAACCCAAGATATCATTGGTATTCAAGTGATGCATGTTAGAATCGATGATGAGAAATCGGGATTGTCATAACATTGTCTACAAGTTAATTTCAACCTGTTGACGTCCCACAGCTGGGTCCATAGAAGAGGGGTTTAAGAGCCCGCTGATGTTTCTTGATTAGTTAGTTAGTGTACTACGTCTATCCTCAATAATAAGATCCAAACTAAAACATTGGTTTGTTCTGTATTTTACTATTACCTAAATTAATTACTATTTATTCCTTCTTACATCCTTTGTTGATGAAGAACAAATCTCTATACAAGATTACTCACCTAAGGCATCCGAGAGCACGTGTAGAAACACTCCTTTCATATTCAAATTGCCAGCGTCTGTGTGTTTTGGAGCTTGTTTGTTGTTGGGTAACTTGTCGACTTTGGGGGGCACCATTTCGTCCGTCTCCTCTGTATCTGTTGTCGCGTGGCCCAGGGCCATATCAGCGTTGCTGTTCACCAATTCCGTGAGGTGTCTGACGTTGGACGGGGGCGGAACACCACCATGTGTATGTCCGTGGCTGCTACCATGCTCTGTAATCGTTAAATATGGTGTAATGGCAGCGACGGTTCAAATTAGGACCGGGTCAAAAACCACCATCAAGTTTAATCACGTTTCGGTTTCAGCTTCTATATGCGTGGGCGTGGGCGTAAGAGTGGGAGTGAGTGTGGGAATGAGAGTCGGAGTTAGAGAAGGAGTGATGCGAGTGTTGCGGCAATTTCACACTTACAACATTGCTTGCCTGCCTTAAATGCGCCCTTACATAAATTATTAAACACCTCAAATAATTAAAAATTATACCCCAAGTCACTATTCCACGCGGACGATGTCGCGTGGAATAGTGACTTGGGGTATTGGAATAAAAAGATTTGTATATTAAAAAGGGAAAAACAATTCTTTGTAAAGAAACCTAAAGTATATAGTATTTTTTGTTATCTTCTCATCATATTTCGTACAGAAAAGATTAAAATCGATTATAACATAAAAATGTTTTATAACATGGCCAGTAATCAAACTCGTTTACTTTTGAAAATTACAATCATTCGAAATATTTTCTTCGTTCATACATTGCTTCAAAACTGACAAGCAATATTGCAGTGTAAAAATAATTGAGCAAAACTAACATCACTTTTCCTGGAAGTTCCGATAAAATGACCTCGGATGAACCACCTTTTGTTTTATTTATGCTAATCCGAATCGAAAACGGTGAGGTGCGTTATCTACACATTTATATCATTAAACTCGTCTTGGATCAGTTGCCATCACTCAATAGGTACAATACAATAAGTAACATATAAATAAGATCTATCTTAACTTTTGCGAGGCTCAAAGTATCTAGGTAGGGATCAACAACGAAAAAACGTTATTTATTTGAAAAAAATAAATCAACCAAAATTAAGGCCAATGAAATAAACAAGCTTTATAATAAGCCATATTTTTCCCCTTCTTTAAATATCTATACATTACATCTGAATAGTTCACATCTAGGATACATTAATTATAAACATCTTTAACGGTGTAAAACGCGTTTAAAATAGTTTATTCAGTGGAACGTTTCGGATGCTTTGTACGTGTACTCCCTCAAAAGGCGTTCTAAAAGTGTAATAATGGCACAAAAGTATTGTTTCTCGCATAATCCCGTTTAAGTATCATTTGCAAATTGCTTGCATTTCGTATTGCTATCGTAAAACAGTTTACAAGTAGACACTGTTATCAACTATGTCGGTTATTGTTCTGTTTCCAATACCGTTAATTTCAATATAGGCAACAATAAACAATGTCGGCGACCATTGTTTGCAAACACACTCAGAATTTACCTATTGTACTTCAGTTGAGCTACAACCCTGACAATTGATGAAATAGTTGCAGTCTAAATTAAATAATTGGACATGCCACTAGGGACGTGACAACGCAAATAAGCTATTATATTATGTATACTTTGAATAATAACCACAAAAAACTGTGCAGCACAATTTCGGCAAAATGGCGATTTTTATGCCTGGAGGACCAACAAGCAGTGAGCTCACTCGATGGAGATACCCTACTATCGATTTATTTTGCCTTTGGAAAAGCACAAACTCACCATAACACCCCACCAAACACACCATAATATAATTAACAAAATTTTTGGACCCGGTGGAAATAGATTTGCTAAATAAATAAATACCACTCTTCATGAAAATTAGCTGATAGAATAGACCCAGTCCAAAATCTATCTGGATTGAAATATTACAACACGTGCAGAACTTGACCTGGCATCCACATCGTTCCGTGCTGCTGTTCTAATAAATTGATTTTGAATTTATATAATGCCATCATGTGTGTCATCATATTAAAGTTTTCAGACCCAGCCAAATGAAATAGTTTAAATCAAATGCAATGTCTAAAGCAGAATTCGCCAAACTTTTTTGTATCGTAGACTCCTTGCCATGTGTTTGCCTGTTACCTGATATTGATTTGCTGTAGTAGTAGTGAAGTTAAGTGTTAAATATACATGTTAATTTTAAATGAAATTAAAACTACTTAAAAATAAAATTTTGTATCTGTTCTGTTTTTTACTCCATAGGTACTTTTAGGAATAATGTATGTTTTGATATTACAAGATAGTATAATGTAAGTAAATAGATAAGTGTATGTGTTGAGATCCACCATCCACCCAGGTAGGTACCCATGCATACCCATGCAGGTAGTCATAGACTCCTAGGGGTCGATATAGACCACTTTGGGAATCACTGGTCTAAAACAAGCTGTGTTATCATAACAGACACATCGTTTCGCTGCGGCGAATCTCTTTAGTGTATAAACAAGATAATATTTAATTTAATAACAATGAGCTGTGCTTGTCACAAATTTGGAATTGATAACAGCCTGTTAGACTTGTTTCAGGGCATTCAGTGCGAAAGATATTCTAATATTATCGGACAGGCAGCACGTTTGTGACTTGTTATGCTAGAATTAATTTTGATGTCTAGTCGAGATCTAGATAGATTATTTCAAATTGAAAAATAGAAGTTGATAAAATTTACAGTCGAAAATTGATAACGTTGACAGGTTTTAAACTAATATTTGCTGGTAGACGTGAGTAAAGTAATAATAGCGTATGATGTAATACACAATTGGAGAATAATAAAACGTAGACATTTGACGTAACAAATTGTAAAATGTTGATAAAATATAATCACGCTGTCAGACTGACAGTGCACGAAAGGACTTGATGTTGACTTGACGTAAAACAACATTTTCCATGTTAACTTCGGATTAGATTAATCACTATTGATATTGTCGTTAGGATACATTATTAATTGCTACAATTAGATAATAAACGTAAATAGTAATTCTATGATCGCACTAAGATGTTGAGCATTTAGCGATTTTTCAAATTTCATTAAAATCTTTGTTATAATTTTTCAAGTTATTGATAGATGATAGACACCTCGAGAGGTGCATGTATCAATGAGTTGAATAAATTCGACGATGAGGTGTGGGACTCGGCAGCTCAATTGGTTTGAGCACGGAACGAAAGTCCTGCCCAAGTCGAAAAATGTTTCGAATTTTTTATCTATAATTTGACTTCACCGCTTAGAAAAGCCGCTAAAATGTTTAAACCAATTTCCTTCTACATGAGTTCCTAGCGTAGCTCAATAGTAATATTAGCCTCCCCAGAAATATGAATGCAACCTTACAAATACACAATATCTTTTCATTATTATATATTTGAGATACTAAGAGATATACATACCGTGAAACAGAAACAGGCCCACAATGTTTAGGATGAGACCCAGTGTACCAACAGCGACGAGTAGTTTAGGATTGTGTATAGTCTCGATGTTGATAAACCTCTGCACAGCCTCTATTGTGATGCTGAAGCACAACGCGACCAGAAATACAGCATTCACAAGAGCTCCTAGTACCTCCGCTCGTGCCCAACCGAATGTGTTCTTCGACCATTTCTTTGGTGACATCTAGAGAAAAAAAAGGACGAATATGAGTTCGCTTAAATTTTTCTGTTTTCCTTTTTTTTAATATACATTGATATTAAAATTTGAACTTTCCCAAAGGACCACAGAGTTTGTATACATTTTAGAGAGGAGTTTCATACGAATTTTATAATTTATTAAAGAAATATATAAATTGGTTATAAAACCTTAACGCATTGCTTTAACTAAAAACTGTCTTAGTTTTATACACGATACTAAATAATGATGGATTTCGTTGAGATGTAATTTTAAAACTAACTTCAAAATTATATCCCAACATAGTGGTAGTGGTACATATTACGAGCAAAAACAACATTTTAATGATTTTTATAGCGATAATATATTTATTAACTAAAAGCACTGGCTTCTTTAAAACATCAAAAACGTCGGTTGTAGTTAAAAATAAATTGCTTTGTAATTCGAACCGTTTAAAGAGCTTTATTTAATGTCTTAGTAATGAACGACCATCATATTAATAAAAGGAAAATCCCGAGAAACTTCGAGCCCGCTCTATTTCGCGGAACTTAAATTAGTCATCGTGTTTCTGCACAACGTATACCGTATTCTATACTAGAATGTCAAACTATGACGTCACGCAAGGTCTACCGTCGCGGTTCAATAGAGAAACGTTCACGGTATAAAATTATACACTCTTATGATATGAGAACACTTGAACACATTCTCGAGTACCTAGGAATCCTAGGGTGGCGAACGCGGAAATTAATAGAAAGAAGAATTGAGGAAGTAAAGCGCTTTGTCGCTACATTCGCTTGATGTACTCTATTTTCCGATTCATTTTGCTTTATTCAAGCTTTTAGGTCTCTTAACGTACATTAAATAACACTAAAGAATTCCCTTTAACTTTAATTACTTCGCCATTACTCACGGTTCTTAAAATTAATATGGCACTAATTACTAATAATAATTAAAATTACTTTATCGTTTTTAATTCATGCAACAATCTAAACCTCTGAGACAAAGAAGATTTAGTATTTTTGTGCATTGCATAAAATATGGATGTCATTGTTTGTAATCACTAGACTAAAATGATCTTGACTTTATAATACACAGTAATTATTGGACACTGGTAGTATTGGCCTACGGCAACTATGGGTAAGAATAAAACAAAGTTAAACAATGACCAGTTGTCGCGTAGAAGTACTTACATAGACTTTACATAAAATACAAGAAACTCGGAAAATCTAAACAATTAAGATTCAGGATGTGTAGAATTAATAAAATTTTTCTTTGTGACCATCTCAATTAGGTATAAGGTCTTATGGGCTTAGAGCATTCCACCAAATGAAAGCTTGTCTGTTATAAAAATACACCACATTTAACTTGGGTAGATACTGTTATCTCAGAGAAAATATTAACATTTGAAGAATGATGTAATTGTTTGATTGCGATCGATGCATATGTAACACGTTCCTGGATATCGTAAAATATGTCAGATGGATTTATTGATGTATGGTGATGACCTCATTTTTCCCAATCGCATTGTTATAGAATTCTATATATATTATTATATATATAAAGTAACTTTATGTGTTAAGATAAAATCACTAAGGATATCTCAAAATTTTATATTTTTCTAGATATATTTATAATAAAAACTTTTTAACGTTTTTGTTTAAGTAACAATTAAATGTGATGTAATTTAATTGCAATTAGCTGGTTCGTGTCTAATGTTAGAAATAAGACTGTTTTTTTTAAACAAACAAACACAGATTTTCTACTGAAGTAGATAGAAAAAGTCGATTGAAATTATTTTTATTAGTTTATGGTACTAATCGTTATGTAACGAAATTTTTATGTTTTTTTTTTACCTTTTATATAATGATCTGATTACTAAATAGACAAACCGTCAAATAAAGGGCCTGCAATGTTGAGTAGCAGTTGGCTACTTATATAGACAATCAATTTGTTTTCACTGATTTGAAGAACTGATTTACATAAGTGGTGTTTTTGTCATTACTATTCTACTGTAGCCATTTTACATATTACCTACTAAAAAAGTTGCGTAAGTAGCCTAAGCAAAAGCCAAATTCAAAAAAAATCTACACTATATAATCATGTTATATATTCTAGTTACTCAAATGTTAAAATACCATGATCAGCTCTCTTTAAAGGTAGAGAGAAGAGAGAACAAGCTTTGAGTTCACATGAAGGTGGGTAAAATGACTCTGCCCTATAATATACTATAAAAATGACTTGTCAACATATTTTTTGGACACTACGAGACACTCAATTTGAAATTTGTAGTTTTACAATCAGTTGCAGATGATGACCAGATATTGTGTAACATTAACCCTGAGACAGGTTACATGGCTCATGTGTAAAATGTTGCCTTACATTATTTTGACAATTTTAACAAGTCAAATCACTATACATATATTTATATAACCATACAATTTAAAGAAATGAGATTTAACATCCTATCATTGTTTTTTGGGCTGTTTGGGCGACGTAAGCGAGAAGAGGTTTCGCCATCACGAGAGGATGGCATCATCAGGAGATGTTGTTAGCTCCTCGATTGCTCAAAGATTTAATTTTTAATTCTGAGCAATGATGTTCTATGCAAATGATAGTCGTGAAGGTAATTTATGAGATTTAACATGTTTGATTTTTTCTGAGCACAAATGTTAAGAAATTTCTAAAAGTTAAGTAAACAGGATCATTGTATACTTCAGATACAATGATCCTGTCTACTTAACTTTTATAGGTATTTTGCTATCGGATCTTACCTTTACAGACAAGAAAGCTACAACAAGAGCTGCTACATCACTCAGCATGTGAAATGAGTCAGCAACTAAGGCCATAGAATTGGTCACATATCCAACTACAAGTTCCACTATGAAGAAACTTCCTGTCAACCACAGCATAGACAATAAACGACATTTCTTCCCTGAATACTTCCCCATATTTCCTGTAGACAATGTTAATGTTAGAGAACATATATCATACTTATTAATGAAGTATAACTATTTATTTAATTTAAAGCATTGAAAACATGATCTCTAAGTTAGTAAAGAAAGTCTAGTAGAGATAATGTATGTTGTTAAATATGTCGTGTTTGTTTTAACAAAGAAAAAGCTATAGATATTGTCTTACTTAAAGCATAATTTCTAAGGCTTAGTGTGTACATTTTAGACACTAATTAAAATCGGTTTATACTAAATTGCTTGATAGCAAGTCTTTACCAAATAAATGTAAATGAAAAAATTAATAAGTGATCTATTACTCACGCTTTGTAGAACAGTTTAACTACTACAATACAGACGTCCGAGATTGTAACAAATTCCAATATTTATTAGAACATCAACCGTAGAAAATAGTCTCGCGAAAGCTGGTGAAATTAAAACTATCACCTATTACAATTATAAGTATATGTAAATACACGCGGTAAACAAGTAATATCACAGTTCTATTGCACTATAACTGAACAATTTTAGGACTTATTTTCTCATATTCGTAATAATTCACAAGATCAACACCGTAAGACACCGAGTTACTCTAAATCACAGCTCCAAATATAGTATGCTCAATGGTGTGCAGGGTCGTCGTATATATTTGGTTTATCTATGGGGTCTGTTATCTTCTATCTCGTATGACGAAATTTTGTTGTTGCTGTTTTTCACACTAAAAATGGCTAATGTTAATATTATAACTGTGTGAAGACCCTGAATTGCCATTGATGGCCATGGCATGCAGTGTTGGTGATCAAAATTCGTAGACTGTAAAACTAAAAGTTGTATTTTAACAAATTTCAATCAAGCGAATATTATGAGCGTGAGTTACGCCTGTGGTCGATTCCACAGTTATAATATCTTGTTATCATAGGGTATAAAAGCGTCACAGAGGAAAAATGGAAAAAAGTCTTCTTTCTATAATCACAGCATAATTTAAACAGTTTATAGTTCGTCCTATTTTTTTACATAATAAACACACACTAAATAATTATAATTGTCGTATATTTTTTTATTCTATCATTATATAGAATACCGTTATCTAATTGTGGATACATACTTTTAATATCGTTTTATTCACATTTGGTCAGTACATGCTTCAAAATTGACAAACGTTTAATCCTATAATACACAAGTTATATATTTATGGACCACAGACTTCTCAAGGGTAGTAGAATAGAAACAGTACCTGTGCAATGTGGCATGTTATCATTTTGATAATGTCAAAACAATATATAACAATAAATTGAACATAATTAAAAATAATAATATCAATTATATCTCGAATGACAAGGACCCGTTTTCATTCCGATGTATGTTTCAATATTGCCTTGCACTGATTATTCTTGACTATGATCACGCATTCAATCCCTACGTCGTAATAATTATGGGATTTGCGAAAATATTTGCAAAGACCATAGGCTTCGCAGGTTACGCTCTGCAATATGCGTGTTTTACACACTGTACTTTTGAGTATGTTGGCGATTTTGTAATGGTATGTAACTGATATTTTATCTGTTGTTACATAATATTTTACAGAATAAAAGACTTTATTTTGTGTACATTTTTCCTCATTTGAATATTTTACCAGCATAATTTCAAGTGTAAAATAAATAATTAAGTATAACTTGTTTACATACTAGCCTAGTTTTGTATTAAAAAAAATGCTTTTAGTGCTCTGGACCTTCAATGGAACCTACATTGGAAACAAACAACATACTTTTTACGGAGCATATCACTCCAAGAATGCAAAGATTACGTCGAGGTGATATTATAATAGCAAGGTGTCCTACAAATCCAAAGCAAAACATATGTAAGAGAATAACTGGCTTACCAGGTGACAAAGTTCGAGGTCACTTTCGAAGAAGCCAGTATGTTCCAAGAGGCCATGTTTGGCTAGAAGGTGATAATTCTGGTAATTCTTCTGATTCCAGAGTCTACGGCCCTGTTCCACAAGGCTTAATAAGAAGTAGAGTCGTGTGTAGAGTGTGGCCATTAGATAAAATTAGTACTTTGTCCCAAATTTAGTGATAATTAACAGATTAAAAGTTTATTTATATATACTAATTATTAATAAAACAACTAAAATCATTAAATATACATATATTATTTAAAAAGCCTAGGATTTATTTCAATTGTTTTGATTGATTCAGATTCCACTGTCACTTGCACATGTCTCAATGCATCAATATTAATTCGGACGTCCATATTAAATGTATTACTGTAAAAAATACACATATAAGTGTTAGTTATGCTATTCCTCTTAAACCTATCATATATTATATCAAAAAAAGCAATGGTTTACTTTGTTTTTACACATCAAATGTAGGTATAACCAAAAACTTTCTTGATTGTTATTATAACTGTTTAAAAAATAACAGCATATTAAAACTTACGTATTTTGAAGGACAACTACTATATTTCCACCTGGTGTTATAAATGCTATATTGGGAATTCTCCCCAAGTCCAAAAAGGGATATGTTGAAGATATCCTTCGAGAGCCTCTTGGAATAAACTTTGAAAAATGACCCATCGCATAGAACATGGGCTGCTTTATAAATTCATCTCTCTCTGGATATACTAAAATTGGGGCATCAACAAAGTTGTTTGCCCAATTTGGTCCACCTTTTTCATCGAGGCAAAGATTCCAATCTATCCAGCCAGCTACATAATGATTTAAATCCTGGAAATTTAAAATTTTAACATAAAACCCATACTATCAAGTATGCATGCTCCCAAGAGTTTTTATACCCACCTCCATAATATTTTTGGTGTAACGGTAAGCACGCTCCCAGGAACCGATTTTTACTCTCATAATGTCCCATGGCATAGGACCTAAAGTAAAGGTCATCAATGTATTATTGAAGTTAGCTCGAGATTAAATCATACATTTTTATAAGAAGTACAAATATTTACCTTCACACGCTTCAGTTGCAATAATAACTTTATTGTATCTAGTATGAAGGTCGTCTAACAGGAGTGGAGGTGCAAAGTTACCATAATAATGAACTGCAATTCCATCTGTATATTTTATTGAATCCCTATCAGCTGCTTCCATCTTAAACATTTAAAACGGTTTGAATGTATATAGTAAGCTTTCATAAATGGTAAACACATTAAAAGAATATTTACCCCCAACAAATATAAATGTAAGAGATAGCGCTGATCGTCTACAGCAAAGATCAGTGTTTTGTTGAAGCGAGAACTTCTTAACGTCGGTCCCAAATTTTGACCTACCCACCGGCCCTGAGAAACAAATAATAATATTTTGGGATATAGTTGGAAATACCCCATATAACATCTAAACAAGATGCGCTGTCGGCCTATTTTGGCTTTGGCTATTCAGACTGAAACCGAAACGTATTAAACTTCACTGTTCGTGTCCCCGACGGAATTTTGGTAATCTGACCAATCTAATTTGAATTCCAACATGTTTGAGAAAAATTATATTTATAATAAAAAAAATCTTGGATTCGGTGGGGATCGAACCCTCGATGATTATTAGCCATACAACCACCAACGAGCCCGTCTATTCCTTTCTTGTGGAAAACGCAAAATGCCCTATTTACCAATTCAGCGGGGAACCATCCAATTGAATTGAATGTTACAAATGGAACAATTCCATTGATCGGTTCATTGGTTGTTGTCAGCGCCCATATTTCTATTTCTGCTTGCTCGTATAGCTCCATGAACCTAAAACATATATCATTCAATGGATATCCTCTACCCAGGTACGGACAGACTATAATTATTAGGTAAGGCATTTAAATAAATATTTTCACTAAAAAGTAGCTTACCTATATAATACATTACATACTTAATATGATAATCAGCGTAGCTCTGGAAATATTCCGGTTTCAGTTGGGCAAAGCCTGTTATCCTCTCATTGGTTTTCATCCACACTGGTGGTGACCAGGTGGAAGCCATCAATTTCACCTCCTGCTTCGATGTTCGTTGTATGTGTTTTATCATTGGGATCTAGGGAAATTATTTTTATTGTTAAGTAATACACTAAAACGCATTTACTTCTTAACATACTTATTGTAGTATAAATCTATACTAATATTGTACAGCTGAAGAGTTTGTTTGTTTGATTGAACGTCCTAATCCCCGGAACTACTAATTTGAATTAAAAAAATGTGTTAGATAGACCAAGGAAGGCTTAAGATTCGACCAGTAGGAGTGGAGAGCGACGAAATTTATCTTTGAAGGCTTCCTTTTTGTGCGCTACGAAAAAGGTTTAAGAAGCCAAAACTCATGTATCAATGAATAATACCCCTCTAAATTAACTATAAAAATGTTCCTGACAGTATATCTTATCAGTAGTCTATCTTTTAAGATTAAGTCAATATCCTTTTTATGGTAAGCAACGTGTTTGAATTTATGCATCATTTGTTAGAGTTGTACCAACAAAATGATAAATTTAATCTTACAACCAAAAATCCAGACTATCTTTATAGTTTAGTTAAATAAAATAACGCGTTCAGTCTATCTTAACTGAATCAATAACCTTCATGACAATTAAAACTATTTGGTATCGTTTTGACAGTCGATCTTAACACGAAGTTGTTATGGGTATTTACTTGATTCTCTCATAGACATCCTTTTAATGCGTTTAAAAAAATATTTTAATACTGCAACAGTTACTGAGTTAGACTCAGACTTCATTAGCTGCATTATTTTATAGTAATAATATATTCCAAAGTCACTCTAATTACCTTTAAAAATATATCTTCGTTTGTAAAGGTAAAGTTGGTTAAAGCTGCATCGTTCCAAGGATATTCGTTGTAGGTATATGGATGTGTCGAGAAGTCAGCCCCACCTATTGGGGTGCGTATAAGGTTGTATTCTAGACCCTCTTCACCATAGTACGACCTATAATAAGATGATATTAGATCGATTAAAAATTAGTTATTAGATTAAAAGTTAATTAGTACTATCATTTTGAACTACATCTGATGTCGTTTGGTGTTTATAAAATAATTTATTTCTAAAATCGTCACTTAGGTCTTGGACTACGATGGTCAGCAATCTATATCTATATATTGTTTGAAGGCTCTAACTACTGTTTCGAATTAAAAAAGGAAGTCTTTAGGCTATAAAAGATTAGGATGCGACCAATAGGAGCGGAGATGCAGTGCGAAATGTGAAACGGGGAATATTATTAACCTTGAATTTCATTTCGCTGTGAAAGCGGAAATATATATTCTACGCGGGCAAAGTCGCCGGCACATCTAGTAGCAACCTACAAAAATAATAAATGCCAACCTAATAAAAAATTCCTTAGTCTCATCGGACAATTTTATCCAATTGTAGGCTGCAGCATCAGTAACGGATCCCCCGAAGCCTTCAATTGTTTGAAATCGTACATTCTGATCCAAAACCAAAGTAGCTCGAGTCCAAAATTGCCCTGAAAGCACATACAAAGTAAACATTAATAACTTAATTTTTCTTTCAATTATAGTAAATAAACAAGAATATTCAATGCCATTAACACAATTATATAAGTTACACGTCGTTAGTCGCCGATCTCGTCTGCTTTCGATACTATGCTCGCTGAAAAGCAATTTCTCGTCTTTTAAATTCAAATCCAACAAATAGACCGAGACCAATGCGACAGCGACTTTGATTCGTCCTAAAACAAAACGAAGTCCAAAATTCATATAAACAAAAACCTTTCTCACCATCATCGTTATTTTGTTTTTCTTGTCCTTGATTTACTCTATGTTTAGTAAAATCTTTTTCTGTATCATATTTCGCAGCGTCATTATAACTCGAGAAAGTTAGGACTCTGCCTGTCTCCTTTTCAAAGCGTTTACCAGCCTGAAAATTAGAAGTGCCAATATTCAGTACCCCACATTATCAGAAATCAAATTCCTAGAAGTTTTACTTACCCTACTGGATGTATAAGCTACAAATGTATTTGGAGCAGGTGGATCACGAGATATAGTGTCACAATACGTGGAATTACAAACACATACTATTGATCTACCTTCTATGCCCAAATCTCGTGCGGCACACGGCTGATCTGTAACATATACCTATATTACAGATTTCAAACTCTACAATATAAATGCAGTTTCGAATTTCCCTCTTATCAATAGATTCGAATTTCTACATAACTGTACTGTCCTTGTATTATTTTAAATGATCAGTAATCAGCATATTAATTCTCTTGATAAGGAAAAAATTGCCAATATAGATAATAGAGGTTTGCTTACATAATATACGAGGAGATATTATTATTTATCTAGTATTAGGAATTCCTAAACATAAAACATATTATTAAATACAATATTTAATCGATTACCTATTGATTATTTTGACGTTTTATGTTCAAACATAAAGATGCATTATATCGTTTTACAAATTAAACAATAAGCATTGTCTTTACGTTAGTAGTACGTTTAACGGTTTAAAACGCGAAATACATGAATCGTACTGCTGTGCCCTGCCCCGATCGAAACAATTTACGGTTTCCCCGGGATTTGAAGTCAGGACATCTGACGCTTAAAGCAATGCTAGGCAACACGTTTAATCGTTTAGCTAAAGTGGCGATCAAAAAAACAAAAAACGTTGAGTCGAATAAGTTAACTAATACATTTCGCGATTTAAACTGTCAAAAACGTTTTTATTGAGATAAAAATATTGTTAATAATCTATATTAAGTTAATACATAACAGTAAAGAACTAAAAGATGAGAGAGAGAGTTTTTTGTTCTATTCAAGGGGTATCTTTAAATTGTAGTACCTACTATATGCGATAACGCTTAAACAAAAAAGTATTAACATTTTACTTACCACTCCGAGTAAAAGCGACCAAACCGAGGAGAATTAAATTTAAAAATAGTCCTGCGTTCGTTAAAGTGGACATCATAAAATTAATCTGTAAGTCAAATTTGGCACATTGGTATGCTTAAAAACTTTCACTTATAAAATGATCACGCAAGCGAAATTGGTAGAAAATTCGTTGACTAGTTTATTGTTAAAACTAAGCTATGCTAGTTAAGTGTAGTATGAACAGTAGCTTTGTGAACCCTGAAATGTTTTACGCTGTGAAAAACGGAAACGTGTTTTTTTTGTTTTACAGTGAAAACAACACAGTAAATACCTAGATAAGTATTAATAAGAACTAACCAATTCTTTCGTTAATTTATTATTCTGTAAGTTCACTTGTTGTTTTAACTAGGTATCTATGTGTTATGAAAACTTTTAAATGGCGCCACTGCCTGTTTGGCAAGACTGAATAAATAATTGGTTTGTTTTACTAATCTAAGGTTATACTCAGATTTTTTATGTGTCAAAAAGTGTGTTTTTTTATTTACATGAAAGCGAAATTTTCACTCACCTGGACATTACCTAAATAATAATCTATTGCACAGGCTGTATCGACACTATACGCGACCGATGCTTGAATGAGTTACACGCGATTATAAGACCCGACTATCTCTTATCTTTAGGAAAGTAATTGCAAATAAATAATTATTTTTCTTCTATACCGATAGTACTGGCATGTAGAATGAATAAGGAGCAGATAAATTAAGCTAGGTTTTGGTTCCGTAAAATTCTCATTTCGATATAAATTTAAGACTATTCTGGATTTGATTTACTTAACACAATTTTTAGTTTAGTTCTCCAGTTTCGACGTTTCGTCATGGATGGATGACATCATCAGATATTGCGCTTCGACTAAGAGTAAACTGACATTTATCCGTATATAAATATAGTTGTCGTTTTACATCGAATTCACGTAAGATTGTTTTTAAGCGACCATAATCTGTCTAGGATATAAGGTAAAAGCCATCAATCAAATCAGGTCAAAGCGATCAACGGTCAGCAAACATTGAAAAAACTTATTACAACGCAAAATGGCGCTTAAGTAAACATATCACATACAATTCAGTTGTTTCATAAATTTTTATTTAATAGAATTTATTTTATTTCACGTGACCTGGAAGTCACAAGGACTCAACAATACAATAAATGATGGTTTCTAGAGACTACCCGAAAACCAAAAAAAAAAAACAAACGACTGGCCTTCGAGTTAAGGAGAACATAGACAGTCGGATTAACGACGTGAGATTATCATTAGATTAAATTTGTCTTAAAAGGTTCCGTAGTTTCTTAAATTGATCTTTAATTGTAAAATTTTGTTGCAAGTATAGATACACTTATATTGAACTAATGACGGTAATTAGCCATTGCTTATCTAAAGGTATTTAAAACATTTGTAATGTTTATTATTTTGAAAGTTTTATCAAAATCCTTGACAATGTCATCATGGTCAGATATCAGCATAATTAATCTGAAATTACGATTAGACGATAGACCACTACGAATCTCATAAATGGTTCATTGGAAATATAAAAGAAACATAAATTGCACGACGATGTCTGTTTGATTAATGACACTCGTAATTAAAAGATACTTAGTTACTTTTGCATAAAAAAATCAATTTAGAGTTCAATTAACACTAACCAAAAAAAAAATTGGTATTGGCTTTTAAATACAGATAAGCAGAACCGTTTTTAAATTTAATACTGTCGGAGGTTTACGACAATGTAGTTAATACCTATTGACGGCAACCGTAATTTTTAATTAGGATTTTTTTTAGTACTTAGTCTCTTATATTTGTTCAGTATCATAAACAAATAGAGAGTTTTTTAGTAAGATTATTTTAAATGAATGTTTTCTTCGAATACGAAGCTCGTACTATTACCTAACACAAGTAATTTGTGGATCTAAGATCTTCTCCTCTCTATTGGGAGAAGAGACCTTGAACCCAGCTAAATAAAGGGAAATAGATTGATTAAAACGAGAAAAGTTGCTTTAATTGTTATATTAACATTCTTGTTTGCATATCACGGATTCGTTCGGGTTGATTTCAATTGTTTTTATGGCTTCGGCTTCTATTGTGACTTCTATGTAGCGTTTGCTGTTGATTCTGATGTGCACCTTGACGCTAACGGTTTTCCTGTAATACAAGAAGAACGAAATTTCAATAAAATTTACAAATTTGAGTGTGGGACATATAAATCTAACGATCCAAACTGACATGTCTCTAGGGTTCTCAGGTTCATTCAAGGGCGGATCCAGCTTTGGCGTCAGGAGGGGGTCTCATCGTGGTCAAGACCTTTAATTTGGTTTTGATAACAATAGATACAAGTAAAAAGTAGGTATTTTATTAATGTACGTACGTACGTAAACATAGGTACTTTAAAATATTCATTCTTAATTGCACACTTGGGGAACTTATCACATAACAACTCTAAATAAAATAATAGGTATGTTCAATTAGTGGTTCGCCTAAGTCCTGGACAGCTCACGGGGGGTCTTGACCCCGTGAATTTTCCCCCCTGGATCCGCCAGTGCCTTCATTGCCCACGGTTCTACTGTTGGCACGCTTGTCAAAGATCTTTATGTTTTATGAGCTCATATTATGGCAGATTAGAAGAAGATTTTGGCAAGTTAGTAACGTTGAGGTACAAAGTACAAGTGTGAAGTCATATCTTAAAGCTAATAAGTACGACAATGATTGTATAAGAATGCATTTTGATAAATATAATTAGCACTTGATAGTAGTACTTACGAGTTGTACAGAACCATCAAGATATTGCCTTCAGGTGATACAAAAGCGACGTTATGTATTTCCGTTATACTCTGCGTTGCCATAACAATTCTTTGTGATCCCTTTGGAATCAATCTAGTGAAATGGCCCATGGCGTAAAACATTGGTTGCTTTACAAATTCATTTTTGTCGTGGTAAACTAATATCGGGGCGTCGACATAGTTCTTGGCCCAATTTGGTCCTCCATTTACATCTAAGCAGAGATTGAAGTCCATCCAACCGACCGAATGGTGGTTTAAATCCTGGGAACGAATAAAATGTTAGAAATCACCTAAAGTTAATTTAAACTTGCACTAACTTGTTACATTTTGTCAGACGCTCAAAGCCGCGGAGGCCATTAGAATCGGCGGTGTTGCATATCGCAATGTTCTTCAGCACAAGCACAAATAGAATTTAAATAAAACACTTTAACGGTTTAAAACGCGATATATTAGTTAAACTTATTTGAAAATGATTTGAATGAATTTCCTGTCGAAAGTCCCGTGACCACGGCTGCTGCAAAGCATCCCAAACGTCGGGCCCAAGTTAAAAATTATTTTCAAATAACTTTAACTAATATATCGCGTTTTAAACCGTTAAAGTGTTTTATTTAAATGTGTACTACTCGCGTAAACTATAGACAGTATTTACAAATAAAATTGCTTTATTGTATGTGTAAATTACTGGGTATAAATGGTGTTTTAATTTTTTTTTTTTTTACTTTGCCGCCTACCTCTATTATATTTTGAATATAACGGGCTGCACGGTCCCACGAACCAATCTTTATTCTTGTAGAATCCCATCCTGTTGCACCTAGAAGCAAAAGGTATTTATTGTTAATTAATTATTATTTATCCCTTTATTGTTTGAAATGTAACCGAATGTTCATAGACATGGTTTTATTGATATTTTGGATTGTTTGTTTAATAGGATGGTACTTGTATATTTTTTAATTACCTTCGCAAGCTTGAGTGCCGAGTATCAATTTCTTATACTTCTGTTTAAGTTGATCTAAAATAAGAGAAGGAGAAGACGAGCTGCTATAGTAATGGACTGCTATACCATCTATGTACTTCATTACGTTTTTGTCCGCACGTTGCATCTAGAAAATGAATCAGACGATAATTAATATTTTCGTCAACATTATATTTCAAATCAATCTATTTTTTGGGAACGACATTATATTATAAATTATAAAATTGACAAATGACCTGCCCATGTTCTCACGCGACAGTCAATGCATAATTTTATTAAAATATGATAGAATTAATACTGTCCTCGTTAATATTTTTTACGCCTATGAAATATAAATTACAATCGATGTTAGATTAAAAAAATCGATTAATAAACAATAAAATGTTAAAAATATTAATGTTCTCAAACTACGTCTTTAAAATTTTCAATAATATTACGAAAAACCTAGTTGAGAAGTACATATGTACTTACACCGTGAAGATACCAGTCGAGAAGATGGCGCTCATCATCTACCGCGAAGATCAAAGTTTTATTGAAACGGGATCTTCGGATGGTTGGTCCCAAGTTTATAGCTAACCATCGACCCTAAGGAAATAAATACTAACAATAATACTTAGATTAACATAAAATATATTGTGTTTAGTATGTTGTTAATATTAAGTATTAATTTGGAACTATTATTAATATTGACTAACATTTTGTTTAAATTTTCACGTAAAACGACTCAATTTATCAGTATTAAATAAAGCTATAAATTAAAATATTATTTATTTGTATTCCTTATTGTTTAATTAAAAAGCGAAAACTTGAGCTTTGTTGTTCGTAGTTTTATATTGTTTATCCTATAACAAAGAGGTACTAATTATTATTACTGTTTAATAATTTAAGCTATTATTTAAGTTTTTTTTAATATTATAAGACAATAAAATCTGCAGTGAATTCCAAAATAAAGCAAAAGAACTTATTAAGCAGGACGATAAAAAATATCAATGTGAAATAAATTTATAGATTTAATGCCATCATGTACATGTGAAAATAATAAAGTTTTCAAATAAAATGATAATTTAAAAGTTAATCTAGGCATTTCTTATTATTTGATTAGAATCTACAGTTCAACCAATTATACTGAGAAAATTTACCAAATCAGCTGGGTACCATCCCAGGGAATTGATGTTCTTTTCCGGCATAATTCCATTGGTTGGCCGGTTTGTGGTCGTGACAGCCCAGATTTTTATATCACGCTTCTCATATTCTTCTATGAATCTGCATATTTTAGATCGATTAGAATTGGTGAAATGCACGAATCGGGTTCATCACAAGTGAACTCTTCACGAGGATGACTTACGAGTCGCCCCAAAGAAAGAGACGCAATGGAAAAGTTAAACCCCATGTCCCCTATAGGGACATAGGGTTTCAATGTCCGTTTAACTGATAACTTGTATTTAGAGACAAGTGACAAGACTATTGTTTCTACCCTTGTTCTTCTGTGCTTACTAGGACTTTTTCATGCAGCTGAAGTCGCAGGCGAAAGTGTGTATTGTGCACTATGTATCCATGCCACAAGTGGCATGGAAGTCTCTAAGCATATTTGCAAAATTTCATTAACATCGGCCTATTTGTTTTGGCATATATGCATGGATATATTATATTTATAGCGTAGTATTTATTTAAAGCTAATGTATAGTTATTTAAAGAATCACCTCAAATGATAGTCGGCATAGCTCTGATAGTACTGTTGCTTCAATTGTGCATAGCCGTAAAACTTCTCGTTGGTTTTCATCCAAACAGGTGGTGACCACGTAGACGCTATAATCTTTATCTCCTTTTTTGATACTTTCTGGATTGCTTTTATCATTGGTATCTAAAAATATTGGAATTTATTGTCAAAGACGAGGACGGTGATGGAAGAATTACTCTATGGAAGGTGAAGTACTATAGCCATATAACATTTAAGCAAGCTATAGATCTATTTTAAGTTTGGATATTCGGAAATCCACAGACTGAAACCGAAACGCGAATAAACTTCACGACTTTTCTTCTGTGGACGAACATTTTGCACCCGTCGTTTACTTCAATTACTCTATAAGGAGAAGATGTCACGACAGGTTACTCTTCAGGCAAACGAAGCCGTATAGAGACACTGTAATATTTCGAATACCTTCATTTTAGTGTCCTCTTCGGCTAGTGTGAAATTGAATAGAGTCTCATCATTTAACGGATAGTCGTTGTAGGTGTACGGACGATCTGAAAAGTCAGATCCGCCGATCGGTATTCGGATCATACTATATCCCAAGCCGTCTTCTCCAAAGTATGTACTAAAAATTAAGGATTCTTTCAATAGGATTCAAGGTCAAGGATTCTTTAAGTAACAATTTACTTAAGAACTAACGACAGACTGACGGATTTGATACAGAAGGCCTGATAGCAGAATTGATTGGAACATTGTAAATATAGTGGATATTACCTTATAAGTTGTGATCTCATTTCTTCCGACAATTTGTACCAGTTGTAAGCGACTGCATCTGTTATAGAACCACCAAAGCCTTCGACGTATTGCTGTCGGTTTTCCACTTGTAAGCTCATGGATGCACTGTTCCAAAATGTTTCTAAGGAAAAATTCGACTAGATGTAAGTTTATAGGTATGTGTTACGATGATTATACATAAATATATATTTAGTAACCAAATGCAATGCATATGAGATGTTATATTAATTGAGAAGGATTTTAAGAAAGACTTAAGGAAATCGTAAGTATTAATGTAATAAAACAATTTTTAAAAATTTTGTAACATTTTTGGCGCTGGCCTCTCTTTCTATTCAACCGCTGTTTAAAATTGATCTCATAATTAAAACGTTAAATATTTGACACTAAATACTGTCTTTACTTTACGCAAGTAGTACATATTTAAATAAAACACTTTAACGGTTTTAAACGCGACATAAATAAGTCTCCCCATAACCATGGCTGTTGTAAAGCATCCGAAACGTCGGGCCGTAGTTAAAATAATTTTTAATAAGTTTAACTTTATACTTATAATACCCTTATATATCGCGTTTTAAACCGTTAAAGTGTGTTAGTTAATTAGAAACTAAATATTTCATTTACCACATCCACGCATAATTCATCAGAATATAAGTTAATCTCTTTTCAATATCTGTAAACCGATGTTATTGCTAGAGTAAATAGAAATGTGTTCCTATACTTTATTTCTTGCATTTACCTTTACACGATTGGTCGTCATCGGAATCCTCACCACTGCCGTCTTTTGAATTACCATACATGGTCGTCCCATCATCCACATCGCATTGTTCACTTTCAGCTTCAAAGACGCTACTGTAACTTTGTATGGTTCCGAAACTTTTTTCGAAACGCTTGCCAGACTAGAAATGGAAGTTAGAAAAACATTTCGCATATATAATGATGATTCGTATGTATCTACAATTTTGTCCACAAACTTTTCCATCAATAAATAGAATCTTATCAATTAGAACTCTACAAATAATGAGATACCAAATAGTGCAATAAAATAATCAAGCCATATTTTACATTGAAAAGTGATAATAAATTTAATTGTTTTATCTTTTTTGGTGCGTTATTGGTGTCTAATAAGTCGCTACATTTATGGACATTAAATGACAGTTCAGCTAATATTGAGAGCTATACAGCAACAATTAAGTGAGCTAGGGAAGCGCCATAGCTCAATAGATAAGAGTGTTGTCTAGTATTGTGTTAAATACAAGAGGCTTGGCGAAGAATCCTCAGACAGGGCATAGAAGTCTGATCAACAACTTGTATGTTAACAATCAGTGAAACGGACGTAGAAATGTGTTCGTTCTGTGGGATATTTCATTTATTACTGTAACATAAAGAGGTTTGCTTTGTAAAGCGTTACGGCGTTTCTTTTTTGATTTCCTTCCTCTTTTAAACAGTTAAATGAAGCTATTATTTGAGATGTACCTTACTACTAGTATATATCACGTATGCGCCGACTTTAGGTGCCTCGCGAGTGACTGTATCACAGTAAGTGGAATTGCACACACAAACCATAGAACTTCCATCAGTGCCTACATCGCGAGCAGCACATGTCTTGTCTAAAAAAATTATACGTCAATAACAGACATATTAAAAATAAACGACTGATTATAATATATTGAAACTAATTTCTTATTTAATAATAGTTAAACCCTAAAGTTTTCTCGGTTTTTAAGACTATATGAGGCCGCTAGAAGCCTAACTGCAGTTTTTATTTGAGTTATTTATATTTTCATAGTATTAAAATGTTAATTCACAAGAGTACAGTGACCGAAAATTAGTAAACTTAATTCTTGCACAGTCCCGCTATTTTTGTTATTAGGCCACTCAGCCTCTAGCAGCCCCATATCATGGTTGAATGTAATAATATTACGACGTCCTAGAATCTAGAGTATTAGTTACTCATTTGCAGAGTTTAATAAGTAGTCAATACCCGCCAATGAAATGCCATCATATTTTGTTATTTTACAGTAAAGAAATTACAATATTACATAGGATTAGTTGACTTTATTATCTTATTCAAGTAGTACATATGTAATAGATTATTATTTTAACGGTCATAATTTTGGTCTGGTCTTAGTTTATAAAGGTACTCACCATCACTTAGTACCCAGTTATTTGAACAGAATAAAATCACCAATAAAAAATACTGCGAGAGTCCCATCGTCATTTCTGGGTCTGTTCAGTATTAACCATTACACCAACAACGATCCTATCTGTATAAAATAAATTGTTGTTTTCACAACGTTTTATAAGATCTTCGCTTTATCATATAATGATGCTATAAACAAATAAACGCAGTCACTATATTATACGTGGAAATGGTTAAAAAAGTTGCATGTTATATTTTTATGAGTCTATAGATATAATTTTCTTATTGCAATACAATATTACAAACTTACTTATACTTCAGATATAAATAATCAATATTTATTGGAATTGGCATCTCTACAGAATCTAAACAGAACGCTTTAAAAGACTAAGTATAAAGTTAAACTTTTATTTTAACAACGATAGATAGTTTCCCCAAATACCAAGTGTGAGGAGATGGCCAGCGTAGCAGATTTGACTTTGACATTAGGAACACTCTCCATCTCTCACGGGTGTTGCAAAACAAACGAAACGTACCCGACGTTTCGTTTGTAACAAATACAAGATAGTCGCGACAGACATATATCTATCGCATTTTAAACCGTATTTTTTTATTACTCGCGTAAACTACAGGAATAAATCTAGAAGTAGTTAAGGTATGACTTCTCCTATCTCTGAAGTTTTATAGGGACAGGCTCATTAAATAATACACATAATTTAAGAAGACAATATAATTAAATTTTCATACAAATCTTTAACGTAGTATTATATTTAAAATACTGTACAATTGTCTTATAGTTTTGTAGTTAATCATTTGTCAAATATGAGAAGGAGGGAATCGAAGAATGCGAAACGAAACGAAAATTCTTCTACACTAAAACTAAAACAAATGATTCACCCCAAATCTATCGACTATATTTATTTTTCATATTGATATGGCAGATTGTCGATATGAAAGACATTTTAGAAGCAAACAATACTTAGAAAACTACAACCGAAAAATGCACTAAATTATATGTACAAGTAACACTATGTTAGAGCTAGTGAACCGCTGCGTTCATCGATAACTAATAGCAAGGAGACAATCTCAATTGAGTACATAAGAATAAATCACAACATTACAGATCTCTTGCGCTAAGAAATTGACAAACAATTCGATAAAGCGAAAGAAAATTAAGTTACACTTAAGTACTATTTCTTACTTTCCGAACGACCATCGCCATATTAGAAAAAATCCGCACTTAGCCTACACTTTACAATTTATCTAATATAAATCTATGAAATAAATACAAAAAAATCTCTTATTGTTATATGATATATTTTCCTATCGCGTGTCTTCGAACTAAATCTATTTAATGCACAGTTACCGATGTAAAACTTAGAAGCGCATACGACGCCGTTTTTAAATTATTTGACTAAAAGAGAGATCAAATCATTGCCACGTATTTAATGTATGGGGAGGCTTAACGTCGTGCGTTTGTACTTCAGACATAAACATAAATAAACAAACACACAGGGATGACGTATACGGGAAAACCACGCGTCAATCATTGAAAATATTGTTTAATATGAAATTGATTAAAGAAAAGATAATAAAAAATAACAAAGATAATCGTCTAAATCTTCCTAGCTTCCTCGATATTGCAATTGAGCTGCCAAAATATAGACTTAACGCTTTAAGCCACCAAGAATTTATTGTCACTATTTTTGCTACGCGAAGGATGCTCAAGATATTCAGAAAATACATTCATTCTTTCATTTAGTATACTGTACAGTCGTAAAATCATTTTATTACTACACGTATGATACAATACTCGTGTCAACATTCGAACACTTATTGTAATATTTACATTATAATATTCGTAATGGCAAAGAAAATGTGGCAAAGATATTGCGATAAATAACTCCTTACGACCGCGTACGCGTACGACAAATTAATTTTAATCTTTTTTATGACAGGGGAATAGACAAACGTTGGGATTACTTTATATAAGACGAAACACCTCAGCTATGGTCTAAACGTGGTTTATTGAATATCCATACTGCCAAACGTCTATGCTTCATTAAAATTATATATATTTTAGAAGCACATTGCAACTGATAACCCAACCTACGCCTCGTTGATTATGAGACTACACTGTTACAGTTGGACCATCTAGCACGTTAGCTGGGTGTAGATGATTGAAAACATATATAGCTTGTGTTAGACCTTATAAAATGTGTTAAAACACTATACAGTTGCAACACAATATAAAATGTATATAATATATAAAAAATGTGTTGAAGCGGGATCTTTTAAACTGTACAAAAAACGATAGCGTTAAAACTGCACCCTCGGTGAAAATTTGATAATTATCTATTAGACATTTCTTATCTCTAGCCTTAATTTATCTATGTATGATTCACGACTGTCTTTGCCTGCTCACTGTAAAATTTCATCTCGAGACAGAGAACAGGCTAAGAACGCTCAAGTAATTTATGTTAATGTAACATAATTATTAGAGGCACTGTGTGTATTTCATTAAAAATCTTTATTTTTTACACGTTATCTAGAACAATCTCGAATCATTCACGAGTACTCGGTACATTTTTTCTTTATCGGCTGCCAGTGACACAGGCAATCAAACTAAATATTTAAATTGAGCTGTACTATAGCTTACAAACAATATTTTGCGAATCTGTAGCATGAACAATCATTTGAGAGGCCTTTTTAAATGTCAGCTATGTTATTTCTTACAAAAATTACATATTTTCAATGATTTTTCCTTTGTTGTGAAATTAACACTATATTTTCTCAGAGATTTTAACTGAAAATTACTTTTGAAGTCACGGTTTCATGTAGTAAATAAAAGAGGGCAAACAATAAATTTCCCCCCACATTGTTCTATTTGCTCTGCAAATATCATCTGTGCCTAATACTAAAGTCATAATAGTACAAATACTGAGTTCTTTATAATTTCATGAGTGGCACTTAGTTTCCGATTTTTACTGTGAGGGATATTGTGGAAATTGAGAACGTAGGACGAATTTAAAAGACAAGTCATCTTTTATACTGATTGATTTAAGAATCACTGTTATTTAACCTGGAAAGTAATTCTTAAATAGTTTCACGGTGACCTATGTCACAAATTATGACATATTTTATTAAACCAGTCATAAGACTCGAATTAAATCTTATATTCAACTTTTGGTGAGCTGGTAATTACATCTTAACAATCTGAAGTTGAGTGCGCACTTATTGCATCAAAAATCATCCAATTAAGAACCGAAACTCATGCGCAGATACAGAATATGTATAGGAGAGTAAGAAAATTATAACCCACAAACAGCAAACTTGAGTAGTGTTTCTGTTTTGCATATTGTAGATAACGAAAAATCGCGTATTCTGAGTAAAACGACTTTAGAGGTGTGTTCAGTCTTTAACCAGCCTGTAGATATGGTGCTGTGCGCCGTGTTCACTGTTCGACACTTCAAACACAAATGCCGCGCACAATAATGTCTCCTGAGTATCTCTGTTTGACACTACCTGTAAGGCACAAAACAACAAATTTACGTAATGTTATAACATAAGTCAAGGTAAAATAAAACAAAAGAAAATGATTTAATAAAGACCTATTATCATTTAAATGCTTTTTCTGCTGACAAACAATTATAAGTTTCATTTCACAAGACGAGGACAGACACTTGATGAGAGATGAAATAACAAGATGCGTTGACGATCTATAGCATATATATATATTCGGAAATCCACAGACTGAAATCGAATCGCGATTAAACTTTTTTATCGCTTTCGGTCCCCTAATTTAATATCCAGATTTACAGAAAAAGTCCAACATGTTCCAGATAAATTATACATTGATTTGAAAATTGTTGGTCCCCATGGGGTTTGAACCTACGACCCGTTTATTAGCTATGAATTGCTACCATTACACCAACGAATTGAACAACACGACTAGCTATGTCTTAGCAAGTCAAGACCTATATGTAAGACATACAGATTTTTGTAAATATGATTGTATTTGGTTACATTTAGCAACATTTATGAGTCTGTATACAATTTACATATAAAATGAGCATTATTTATGTAATGTAAGTTAAATGGAGATAGACTTTAAATCGTAAACCTTTGAAAAAATACGTATGATATAAAATAGCATCTACTTGTGATAAGTAAATTGACGAGACACGATTGATCGAGACACATTTTTACCCCACATAGAGATTTAAAAGATTTACAGATTCAGTAACAATAAAATATTTATGAAACAATTTTATTTAGTTGTCATTCAATATAAAGCATTTACCTGTAATATAGTGAAGTTCTCCAGTACGCTATTCATCATGTACTTTTCGGGCAAGTGTTTGAGTTTGTGTATAAAGTTGACCATGTACTCGCACATGGGCGAACGGTGTATGCGGTAAACGAAGCGGCCGCCCTCGAAGCGGGCGTATTCCGTCTCCACTTTTTCCACAACCTGCTTGCCGAAGGAACAGACCTTCGTACTGCACGTTATCGTCATGTTCTCGTTGCTCTCGTAACTAAAAAGATTCCAGAACACTCATTAGTTCAAAAGGTCTATATATAGTGTATTTTTACTTACCTGGCATTTTTCGTAAACAAACGCAAAATTTACATGAAACCGTGGTTTTTAAAACACTTTGAGACACTGGATTATATATGAAACTAATGAACTACCACAAACTCACTTAATAAAAACCACAATTACATGTTAAAATTTAAAAAAATATATTTTTTTTTTTGTACTTAGAAGCACAGTTGAATTTCATTAGTTTTACATTTACATAAGGATGAGATGTAAGTCAACGATAATAGAAGGTAAAAGCGTTTTAATAAAACACTTTAACGGTTTAAAACGCGATATATTAGTTAAAATATTTGAAAATGATTTTTAACTTCGAGACACAATCTCCCCGTGACCACGGCTGCTGCAAAGCATCCGAAACGTCGGGCCGAAGTTAAAAATCATTTTCAAATAGTTTAACTAATATATCGCGTTTTAAACCGTTAAAGTGTTTTATTTAAATGTGTACTACTCGCGTAAACTATAGACAGTATTTAGGTAAAAGCGTTATGAATGTCGAGTTCGTCATAAAAGTGATTTTGAATATTGAGGTAGTTTGGTCTATATATAATAGATATTTCTTTAACCCTATCTCATCTGCGGCAGTCTCTTAAAAGGGCTTCACGAAATCTCTATGGTTTAAATCAGCCATATTTGATGTGGTCTTTTGCCAACTTAGAAAAAATACACTTGTTAGTATACCGGTCCCAGTACTACTACTAATTAAGTTTAATCATTAACGCCTACACGAGCGTGAATCAAGGAACCAAGCTCTTATGTAAGAGGTATAGAAACGAAAGTATAACTAGGTTTTTAAATAAGCCGTACTTCAGTCTATGTTTTTATGTAGCACAGTTTTACGTTACACACTTGTTAAATAATAGCTATAGAGTTCATCGGGACTTATTGATGTAAATTATCACATTCAAGACAAAAATAGTAACCTTGGGGCATGTCCCATGGGACATACCATTCGTTGTATTATTAATGTTTTAGGGTAGAAATCGACTATATAATTTCTGGGTAACTCTTCTTATTGTATCAATATGAAATAGCAACTCTTAATTCAAATAGAATGCAAATCTTTCGTGATATAGACAAAGCTAGATAAGTATTGTCTGTAATTTACGCGACTTGTACGCATTTAAATAAAAATATTAGTTAACTTGTGATCACAGCTGCTCCCAAGGATACGAAACATCAAACCATAAAATAGTATTTTATTTATACACATTTATTTCGTGTTTTTTATCGTATAAGCTAGTTCGCTGGTTTGTTTAGTGCAATGAAATTAACACTTAGTAATTTTAAAAGGTAACTTACACACTAGTGACGCCGTAAAAGGCCGCTGGGTCGTCTAGATTGTTTGTATTGAGATCCGCCCAAAACTTCACGAGGAAGAAAGCGTTTCTAGGACCCTTCTCATATAACTCCTTTAGACCTCCTTTCTTTTCGGGGAATTTATCATTTATTTGTTGTACATCCACTGACTGAAATAGAAGAATTAAAACTTAAAACGTTAATAAAGAGAAAGACACAAATTATATTTCGTCAAGGGTTTCTGTATGAAATAAAAAATATTGTATTTTCAAAAAAGCCCTCTTCTAGTCCAGAAAACTTAGAGTAACAAGTAAGGCAAACAAAGCTGAACAGGATATACAAAGAAATGCAAATGCCTTGAAATGAAGTTTTTAACATTACATCATTATCGGCAGATACTTTTTAAATGACAAAATATTATCCGTCCATCTGCTTTCAGTACATAAAATATATAATCACCTCTAATAAGGGATCAGCATACGTAACAGTACCACCTATATGTACAAAAAGATGCTGCGCCGGCGACGTGCTTGGTGGATACTGAAAAGAAAAAGCATTATTAGAAATATTAAAAACATGTTATATTCATAAGACACTGGAATAATTAGCGCAAATATTGTGCAGGGGATAATTATTAAAATATAATTATAATCCTAAAATAATATCATTCCAAAATTAATTTTATCGTGTTCAGTCCTTTTATTGGCATTCGGTCACGCCCCTTTTTATAATAAATCTTGTTTGGAATAAAAATATTATTTACCGTGTCAGGATCTCTCGGGTGTTCTACGAAGGCTGAGAACTCTACCAATCGCAGTTTATGCGTGGCAATGGCTCGTCCCTCCCAAGGTGGAGGGGGGGCAACATCTGTCCCTCCTGGTACCACTCCACCAACTCCCGGGACACCTTTGTAACCCGCACCAGGGAACGGTTTTACGCTGAAAAGAAAGGAACATCAAATAATATAACTAGTGTAATGTGTAATGGTGAGTCTTTTTTGGTCTGGTCGATCAAAACAGTTTTGTGGTTTCGACCAGATTTTGAATTACATAGGTAGCCAAGGAAAATATAAAAAACATTAATTTGAGGGTGACAAGAATTTACTTATACTATATTTGGTTTAACATTACAAGACAAACATCATAACATATTATAATTGGACAAGAAGTTATATAAGCTTATATCTTCATGAGTAATTATTATTAATAGGTGGAAAGAAATTCAGATTTCAGAGGAACCTAAATTAATCATTGCTATTCATTCATTACAAACGGTCTAATATTTAAGAATTAAATATGAGAATTAGTCACCAGAAGTGTACAATTCCACATTGACCATTCAACAAGGACATTATTTAGGTCAACAAGGGCATCTCAGTGGTCATCTCTGTCACATCATGGCGCTATCAGTAAACAGGTTTAAAAATTGGCAGATGCAACTTTGGATTATTATACCTCGTTAGCATCATATACAGTTAAATTAATTACTTGTTTATCCGCTTCTCACAAGTGTAAACTAAATGTATAGAATACTTACTCTTGTGACGTACCGGCTTGGAGACCAGGCTGCCAGAATTGCTGGAATGTAAAAAAGGATATTTCAAGTGAATTCCGATAAACAAAAAGCATTAAGATGCTCCGATAAGCATTGTTTTGTTAAATCCAGCGGCTAAACGTTTTAAATCAAAGCTCACAGTACGATGAAGGGACGTCCGTAATTTCGATTTTTGTTAAGAAGCTGATGGAATCTTAGTGAAGAATGATTTCGATCGCGTTTAATAGGGAAGCTTCCAATTAGCACGCGCTTGCCAATTATGTTTGTTATGACGACACAACCCTTACGGTTCTAAGCAACTGTTAATACTATGTTTATACTAATACAACTGTCTGATTTAAGAACTATTAATTGTTAATAGATAATCTGAGTTTTTATTGTTGTTGTGTTTTTTTATGTTAATTAAATCGGAAATAGCCTTTGTAAAAACAAGATCCACATGAGATTTGACTAAGGGATTTAAGTGCACATTTAGAATAGGTCAGCCGAACTATACCCTAGGGCTGCTAAGTAAATAGGACACGTAACTAAGTTAAATTATAAGTAAAGCCAATCGATGTTATTTCAGTGTATCCTCATTTGCGTGCATGGCGGCATGCCTAGATAGAAGCAACACAATAAAGACTATTTTCGTGTGAATGAACACAAAGGCATGCCTTGAAAAATGTACCGTGTGATGGTACGCCGGGTGAGGTAAACCCGCCACTATTTGAGCGCTAGATAGTGTGCTCATTGACTGCATCGCCTTCTCTTTCATCACACCACCGTCCTAGATTATTTATCACGTTTTAAAATGTCTTGCTACATATAAAATTAGCTACTTTTGTAATTCTAATTTAATTCAGCAAAGTTGCATTAAGCTACTGTGCCGATTGATAAAAAAATATTAAGGACAGTACTCACCACTTTGAGTTTGGCCTGTATTTCTCGAAGTTTCCGCCTAGCTAGAACCTGTATGTGTGAAGATACTTGTTTTCTTGTGCGCGTTTTCCCCGTTCTTAATTTTATATATCTCGCTATAAGTTCATTTCTTCCTGTAATGTAAAATAATAACGAGTGTGAATTGACAATTCGGAATACAATTATATGTGCAAAACACGCCTCAGTCAAGCTTTGGAGTACTTAGTTTGGCATTAAAAGCTACAAAAATTCCAAAAGAGACAATTATTGATATAACTCGCGAAATATTCGCGAACTGAAAACCATGCAACAAGAATACGCGTCCCAACAATGCGATACTGCTGCGGCGCCACTCCGCTCCGTTATGAAACAATTTTCAAAATATTTTGAATAGCTATTTTCAATTATTGAAACTGCAGTCGGATTGGAATGCGGGGTAGATTGGCAGAGGGTGAAATATACTTTATAAACAAATTACTCGGACCATATACAAATTAAAAGCAAACATACTTTGATATTTTATTTAGATGACTATATAAAAATAAACAGATAACGTAAATATATGCATTTGTATAATTAGTATCATTTAACTTATTATTATGAGTGTACCTAACACATAGCTATTAAGAGCAAAACGTTGAACTACTAATATTATAGGAGTTTGTATGTTTGAACGCGCTAATCTCAGGAGCTACTGGTTCGAATTTTGTGTTGGTTGGACCATTTAAAGCGGAAGGCTTTAGGCGAATAAAAAAAAACAAGTTCAAGATATCGAAAAATGTAATAAAGGAAATATTTTCCTAAAATAATTTAAAAAATTTACGCGACATTATAATTCTTTCTTCTAGGATTAACTTCCCAGAACCGTTTTAGGGTAATAAAATTTGATCGAAATACTTTATATGGTAAAACCGTTTTATTATTTTCTAGCTGTCAGTAAAAAATAACCTAACCTTAAGTAAATAATAACCTTTCTTAAAAACGGTTAAAGAATAACCATTATACACGAAGCTTCAACTTCGACCAATTGAACGATCTGAGCCGTTTCTTCAGTGAAATTTTTCTGGTCAATAACGTATTAATTTTGTGGACACCGTGTACGGGAAGAGTGGGACTCGCCAAAGTAAATTGAAATCTCATTGAATTCGGGGAATGCGATGCCGCCGAGAGACGGCTGGTGCGAATTTAATTAACCCCTTGACTGCTCGTTGAGGCAAACGTGCGTAGATACGTAATATAGCTCTATTATACAGCTTGTTAAATTTAATAAATCGCTACTTTGATTAAAATTAAACGCAATTACATATTCTCCATTATGCGTTAAACATCACTCTGAAACTAAATTGTTTTCAGTGAGTTCCGCGTGTGATTTGTCTCGCGTGGCATCGAATTTACTTAGCGACATCTCAGCACGACTCCAGCATCAGTGCTTTCACCCGAAACGTCGTGTGCGCCTCTATAAATAGCTAGGTGCAGAGGATCAACTCGGGACGTTTCTATTCCGCGGCGAAGAGAAAAAAAAGTGATCATTATTTATTAGTTCGTTAGATGGCTAATTTGGTCGAGTGCCAGCGACGCTACGCTCTCGCGAGTGCTCACAGATGAAATTGTGCGTGCAGCCGAGACGTGAATATTCAGTTTTCTTCGAGAAGCGAGCTTCGTGTGAATCATCCTCGTATTTTATCAATGAGTACGCGCACTCCGGCGATAATAATTAATATATACTCGTCGATGTTCTCCTTACAATAAGGATCAGTTTTCGAACAGTATTTGCGCTATAATTTATTCTACGGCGGGAAGTTATCGAAGATCCATCAGAAACACATTAACGTCCTATCTATCAGCCGTGACCTTTTAAAAGCTTTACCGCGAACGTACCCGGCCGCAGTCGTTCTGTGTGAAAAGTTGGAATGTAATTTAAACGAAGTTTTTGTTTGATTGAATGTTTTAAAATAATTGCACCTGAGGCCTCCCTTGGAACCTGAAACGGCTTAAACTGGATCTAAAGATATTTTCAAATAAAAAGCCGCATTTCAATGTAAATAATTTAAACGATATCTGTCCGGTTGCGCACACAGCTGGAGAGTATGTCAACCGGTGCTATATTGGCGAAACAACTTTTTAACCATTCCACATCACGATACATCAAAATTTATATCGATGGTCGCTCGAAAAGGAAAGACAAGGCGTCGTCAAAACGCCGGCGCGACGCGAGCGTCGGCGTCGGGGCAGAATTTCACGCTGACCCAAACGGAAGATATGCGAGTTGAATCCTTAAAGGGTTGAGTTGAGACGGTTCTAAGGAGGATTTCTCGGGAGACAATCGGGAGTTATGCCCGGGGCGGGCGGGGCGCTAAACAACGGGCGCGGAGCCCGCCCCTTCTTTATATTTTCTTACTGCGTTCGCCGCCTAGCGCGGCCGGGCCCCGTACACGCTCGCTCGCTCACTAATTGCGCATTCTTCGCATAGTTTAGCCCTCCCGTGAACCCCTCGGCCTCCCCCGGACCACGTGAAGCCGTGCTCCGACGAAACTTTCATACGGCCAGGATATTGAGCGGTTTTGAATGTCTTAACTCACGAGCGTGCCTGCAGCGGCACTGATGCACGCTTTGAACCGAACAGTTTCCAACAACTAGCCGCAACATTTCGCTAAATTACCGCCCACGTGCATCTCGGCTCATACACGGTAACAATGTATTTTGGGAACTATTCCCTTATTTTCGGCCCCGACGTTCCTAAAGGTCTCGCTGTTTATGTGAGTCGGGGATGCTTTTCCATCGCGTGTTGTGCGTTTAAAAAGAGACATTTTATTATTTAATTAGGGATGTAATTCATATAAATAATAACAAATAAAAATGATGAACGAAAATAAAGATTGGTAGAAAGTAATAAGAATAAAAAACACACATAACGAATGATACCAAATATTTGGCGCTGTTAATTTTTATTGAAAGATTTTACTTGTATCGAGATGTCTATGTAGTTTACCCGGTACACATTTAAACCCTTTCGTCACGTAAAACCCCTGTAAATCTTGACTCCTAAAACATCTGAAACCTCATGTCACAGTTTGAATTAAATTTACATTGCCCGTTTCAAAGCGTTAAATAGTTCAATTTTTACCTGTATCGCACAGGGGCACTTTTTCTTGAATATAAATAAATACAGTTAGATATAGATGAGAGAACGTTTGTTTGATAAGTTCAATCCCTTAAAATACTTTACTAAAATGTGTTAGAGTGGAATATAAAACAATGAACGTAGGACAAATTCGTTGACATGGTGTAGACGTTAGTGGAGTGACGTGAAGACGGTTGCTCAGATTAGGTCTGGAGGGTGCGGACTGCGGACAGTAGGGTGTCTTTAGGGTTGGCATAAAGTTGCTCACATTTTAGTGGTTTAAGATTAGTTCAATTTACAAAATGATAGTATAAGTTTAAATAAAACCGAGATTATTCTTTTGTGTTACAGACAGTAATTAATATTGTGTTAGTTGTAGCCTTTTTTAATTAAAGATGACATAAGATGGAAGCCAACTGGACGGAGCTTCTTTTATAAATTTAAGTTGCTATACGCACATTACGAGATTCAAACTAACTTTGAATTTAGTTTTTTTATGTTTTCATATTATATTTTATGGAAAATATGTCTGTTTAAAATTGTGCAGTATCAGACTGTTAATGTCCTACTTCTAAGAAAAGGTTTTCTCTCTCACAGGAGCGAAGGTCAAAGAGCCTAGATTCAACATGCTTCTAAAATGAGGGTTGGCAGGCTTTAACGACTATCTTTACTAGTTTAATTTAAATAAAACACTTTAACGGTTTAAACCGCGAAATAGATTACTTAAACTTATTTAATAATTATTTAAACTATAGTCCAACGTTTCGGATGCTTTGCAGCGGTCGTGGTCACGGGGAGACTAAAGATGGAGGGTGTCTAATGTCAAAGTACAAAGTGCTACGCTAACTCCAACTGTCCTTATAGAATCGACTAATATATTTCGCGTTTTAAACCGTTAAAGTGTTAATTATGTACTACTCGCGTAAACTACAGATAGTATTTAGTTTAAGGAAGATAACACGAACCGAAGTTTGAGTGTTTTCTTAATGACACTAAATTTCTACTAGAAAAGTCCAATGCATGTGTGTATAGAAAAAACACGAATAAATTTTTTGTATTTTTATTTAATTGGCAACCCTAGGTGACCCGTGACGGAGCTAGATTAAGCCGGGCTAGCACGTCCGCGAGTAATGTTCTCATATATTGTCTGGACGAGCGCGCCCGCAATTATGTACATCTTACACACTGCGGCCTTGACAGTGCGGGAGTCATGCTTTCGTGACATGGAGTTTTGGAGTTTTAATGGGTAGAAAGACCTAAACCCACCTTCTTCCTTCTTGACTTTACAAACTGTAAGGTAAATTGCCGTATGTGTAAATAGGCAAAAAAAGTTTTTCTCCATCTTCCGTAGATATAAGTTATAAATTTTTTCTCTAAACCATTATTATATTTCTCTTACAAACATTGTCCTTTTAAAACTACTTAAAACGGTTTAAAACGCGAAAGGAAAACGTTTTTTATTAAAATGTCAGACTAATTTGTATATGTTAACTTTGATCGTGGAGCTAAAAACTATAAAATACGCTAATTTTGCGTAACTTTATAGTTTTACTGTCAACAATCACCGTCCGTTAAGTGCAGTTTAAGAAACCCGCCCTTGCATTGTTGTTTTAGTACTGTGTTGCTGCTATTAATGTAATTCCAATTGAGTAAAATAGCGCATCCGATTCCACCCATAATCTTAATTCGATTATATCAAATACATTAAAGATTATTTTCGCTGGGGTGATAAGATTAAAATGGCGCATTTCTTTCCGTCTATTAAATCACTCGAGGTGGACACATTGCTTGCGGTAGATTTGTTTAGCAATTCCGTCCAGGGGCCGGGCTGTCCTTTAATTAAGAGCGGGATATATAATGCTAGGCGCTTGACAATGTGACTTAATGTGCGTCTGGCGAAATGGTCGCCTTTACTCCACGTCAATTATACTCCGACGCACGTGAGCGAAGGGAGAAGAAATAGCCTCTTATATTTTTGCGAGGGACGAAATGAAAAGCGATGGAAGTGAATTACTCTATATTGCATTAGCTATGCCCGAGTCTTCGTCTGCATGAAATACTTATTTTGAGCATATTATTTATTTTTGCAAACAACCTCTCTTCCGCGTGCCATCGTTCTTGCACGGTAATCTTAACATGACATGTGATGACATTTTTTTGATCATTCTTTCTTTTATATGTTTTGGGTCATTTTGGTCGTTTCCTTACCCCCCCCCCCCTTCCGTTTCTTCGCTTTTATTTGGCCGCATGTTTTATGCATACAATGAATATTGGAATAATAAAAAACACTGATAAGAGCAAAGTTTTTTTTAGATTTAATTATGTTATGTATGTTAAAAAGTGAGGATTTAACGTTAAAATAATATCCAATTAAATTGCTATGGTGTTAAAGACATGAATACAAGTTATTTTTTAAGTTTTACATTTAAGTACCACAACAAATACACTCGGATATTTCTCAAACGCAATATCTTCCTTTAATGGCACTTCATAGTGAATTAGCGGCCGTTAACGCAAAGAAAAGCCGACATAATTAGCTGTTGAATATAAAAAAAAGATTTGTTCTGGTTGTTAATTTGCTGAAGGAAGTCAAGAGTGATCGTCACGTCGTCTTAACGAGCTCCCTCACTTAACATTGTAACGTGGAAAAATTCCTTTCGTCTACGAAGATTCTTTTAACAATTAACTGATTCGAAGGAAAGGGAAATTAGGGCGCGTGTCAACAAGAGATCGAGCAAAGTATTTGATAGAAATTGAGGTAATCTGGGAGATCTGACGGTATACAGAATTATCTATATGCCTATATTTTCGTACTATTAATATCGGATCATAGAAATACACTATACCTAGTTGACCAGGCAGAGTACAAAAGTATAATCAACTACTTGTTGTCTGTAAAAGTAAGCAACCAATAAAACGGTCCGTCCCACGTCTATCCCTCTTAAGAGTAAGGGCTTAGCACACATATAATATTAACTTTTTGCATTGGTACCTAATTCAAACTAATTAAAGACGTTTCAACGAATTGGCCCAATTCTTAATACAAATGCCGAGTATCAATTTTTTCGCGATGTCAGCGGATATAAACAATGTGTTCAGGATTCTCCGAAAAAGCGACAGACCGATCCGAAGATAATAATTGTCGGTGTGCTTCCGTGGAATCCTATTGCGCAAACGGCTTTGTCGGCACATCAATACCTTTTGTCTTGACACTCGTGCCACATCCATTGTTCAGTTTACAAACCGATGTGTTATTGAATTAATACGCGATTGAAGATTTTAACATTGAGCCATGGTACGGTAGCTGAAATGGTAGGGCGCGGCGCGATACGCTGTGGGACGTAGGTTTTTCTTCTGCTATTAACCATAACTTGTATAAATATTTTTGTAGAGGAACAACACATAAAGTCCGTATACGGTTTCCAACTGAGCTATCGTACCTTATTTGCGCCATTTGAAATATCATCATCAATGACGGTTGAGGTTTTTGATATAAATAGTACAAAATATATATTATATACATATAAGATTTTTGCAGATGACGTAAGCAGGTTATCCTCTAGCATGCTTGAACTCACCGTACATCTTGCCCTCATCCGAAAGGATAATCTTCCGTCTCCCGCAGGGCGGGTATATTGCGAGAGCTTCTTGGAAACTCTGCTCGATATCTGGACTCCACACCCCCTCCGCATCAGCCGCTGACATGTCCTGAAAGGCAATAATTCATTATATAATCGTTGATGCATTGTCGCCATTATAATCAATCCTATATAGTTTTTAAGCTGACGGACAAGGTTGTCAAATCTGCCGGCCAAATGCCCATTGGCAAATAACATATATAGGGAAATTTTTCCCACTGTTTTCCGAAGTCACGAGTTTCAAATGATTTTTTTGACGAAGTTTCTATCGCAATCTTATGATTAGTCTTCTGTAGGCATCCTGCTAAACTTGATCCCATTCGCTTAACGCTACGGTATGCGTTTATACCTCAGCTAAGGGGTTTCATACATTTAAAGATCTAGTATACTAGTTATATTAATATTATTGTGTTGATATAACTTTAATGCATTAATTTCGATCAAAATTTATCACCATAAAAACGGTTCTTGCGAGTTAATCTTCAAAAATACTTACCTACTGTCGCAGACATTTTTTAGATCATTTAAAGAGGAATCATTATTTCATACACTTATTTGCTTTCGTGTAAGCGCAAGCAACGGAATTCCTCAAAGATTAATAATTATCCCCGCTTTTTTCCACTTTTTCCACCGTTTCTTCGCTCCTATGTGGTTACAACATGGTGTTATATAGCATAAAGGCTTCCTCCTGCCTTTTTTTTTATTTTTAAATTTGACCCAGTAGCTACCGAGATTAGCGCGTTGAAGGAGACAAACAAACTCTTCGGCTTTATAATATTAGTAGTATTAGACTTACATTGTAAAAAGTGGACTGGGAAGCTAGCGAGGTATTATGAAAGTTACACTATCAAGAAAACAAATATATAAATAGAAATAGAATTATGCAATTACTGCATAAAATGTAAAGCTAACTACGCGCTTACAATGTTGAATCATTCGCAACGATTTTGTAATTTCGATATTCTATTCTTGTTTTGTTTCCTTTCCAAACCTTGAACTTAACCAGTTAGTGCGAGAACTAGTATTCTCATGCAAATTAAGCGTAAATTGGTAACTTGTTAAGTTTATTGGTTTTGCTAATTAATTGTTTTGAAACCAACAGCGCTAAAGAAAATAAAAAGAATGACTAACTATTCTCCAGAGACAGTGTAAAACCTACTTTTTTATTTGTCCTATTTTGATATGTTGTTAGCTCGGTTAGTAGTCGTAGTGAAATATTTTCGTTTAGCTCAAATTGATTATGTGTGTATTACCCGTGGGGCATGGGGCGAACGCACTTCTGAATCGGAAACAGGGAAAGTAGTTGATCAGACTTTTGTGTCCTATACGACCGAAACAATCTATTCGTTCCCTGGGATTCGAACCCAGGCCCTCTCGCGCTTTACACACTGTTAGGCGACACATTTAACCGTTTAGCTACAGAGGCGATACACAATTGCCTTACATTTTTGGGACTTGTAAAACCTTTGCGAATATTCACGCCTAATCAATGTTTAGTTTATTTAGTAGACTTTCGAAGTGTTTATATAATTTCACTTAAAAATGCAGTTACGATATGAAATAAGCTACTCCAATACATGTTATTTGTTGCAAAATAAACCTAATTAATCTAGGTCACCCAGATTGACCATGTCACCATTTTAACAATTTTAAATATTTTAATTATTACAACGGAGCCTGTCTTGCAATTCGTATTGGTTACAAAAATAAGACATTTATTACAATATAATCATTTAAGAATGTTGAATTCCTACTTAAATTTGTCAAGGAATGTTACTACTAAGTATAAAATCTACCTTATTTATTAAAATCTCTGTAATATCGACAAAAAGATTTGTTTCAATGACTATAATATGTACAGCAGATATATGTACGTCTGTATCGATATTAGAGTCAAATGTTTTCAATCGTTTAGCTTTCGAATAAGAAGTTTAATAACCTTCAATATAGCAGAATATCTTAAAAATAACAACAAAATTCCCTTTATTTCCGCGTGTTGTGTTCTTTCGTAATAAATCTACACCGAAGAAAACAAATCCGTTAAACATTGTAAATGTTTCCGATTAATACTAAAAAACGCGATAAAATACATTGATATGGTTGTATAAACACTAGCTGACCAGTGCAAATGTTGTTTTGCCATATGAATTTTTTCTAGGGAATTTGTAGTGTGTGGTGGGACCGGCTTAGGTCCCATCCCTACTCCGTGCTGTTTACAGAGGAAAAAGTGACTAAGGTAGACGTGTGGGGGGAATAACTTACTAAGTGATAATTGATCTGTTACCGAGCGGGATAATAAATGATTACATTACTAAAAACGACTATTTACGACTTGGGTTTTGGTGACAGAAGAATAAAAATTTAAGATTGGATTTCTAATGTCACATAAAAAATGTACCTACTAAGGGTAAGAAATAAATAGTAACCGATTCTGAGACGTACTGAACATGTATGTATATTTTTTTTAAATCGGTCGTTGTTATATTCTAGAGATATCCTATAAATTCAGCTGTATCGATGCGTCATCCCAACTAATTGGATTGTATTCGGGAAAGAAATATATAAATAACGCTTGTACTGGCATCTGTAAACAGTGATTCAGTAGTACTTAGAATCACTCGAAAGCCGATACCAGACAACTATGTATGATCATATTTGCGTCTTAAAAACATCCTCTACAGTTCTATACTTACGTTTTGCGAAACAATTATATAAATAAGCCATGTAAATAAAAAGTTACCGAGTTAATAATTATAACACATAAATACTTGAATATAATTAATTGCGGTGTTAAAATAACTTGACTGGAATTTTATCTATACTAAATATTAATGGTACTTATAGTTTTATAAATGCAGACAGCATATTATTTATGTTTGTACAGGAATTTCGAATTGGTTTTAGCTTTTTTAAGGATGAGCTCAAGGTGATTTTCGTGCGAGGTATGATAAGTAGAAACTGTATTAAGTTTAGATTATTTTAAAAATAAACCTACACTAATATTATAAAACTCCAGAGTTCGTTTAAACGCGCTAATCTCAGACACTAGGTTCAAATTGTTTTTTTTCTTAGGAACGAAGAAACAGTGAAATGTATAAAAAAACGGGGAAAATGAATCGTTGACCCAGGGGGCTGCAATAAGGTACGAAATAAAATATGTTGAAAGAATATGCCTCTCAAAAAAATGTCCCCCACAGATATATGTATGTATTTAAGATGAATTCGCAATAACCATTCGACGAGTATGGTAACTAACACTGTGACATGTGAATTTGTGAATAAGATAAGTAAGTCACCACAATAATTCTTGCTTCAATAAAAAAAAGAGCCAGATTTAAGAATACTAATAAATGATTGTTATAATCCACAGATTAGAGACTATAGGAAGCTTTTCGTACCTTTTCATCGTCGCTGGCATCTCCGACGTCCAGGTGCTTGGCGTCGGCGCCGCCCGAGCCGTTCGTGTCGGGCGCGCCTGCCGCCGTGCTCCACGGAGACGCAATGGTGCCGGCTGCGAGCGCGCCGCTCGCTGCAACAACAAAACAAACATCGTTCTTATCTTATGCTGCACATATACAGGAAATATAACAAATACGAAGGAAATTAAATTACGGTGATAGGTGTTTAATTTTATCAAGTAAATGAACCTCTAACGATTTAGCCAAGGGATTCATGACCTATAATAGTTGAGTGTCCCGGTGATCAAAGACCGGTAAATTTTTGGTGATCAAAGGTCGTAGATGAAGAACTGTATCCAATAGAGAATAATATTTTACAGACTCAGTAAATTATAACGTACCTAAGTTTGATCTTGTAAACTACTTTCATCTATAAATACACGTTAATAGTGTAATACACTAAAGAATTACCACAGGTTATGAAAGCCATTGACGTCAACGTTTTGTATACAAATTCGGGAGCACAATGTATTGTGTACGCTATTAATATCAAACGAATGTGTGGTTGTCTTGTATGTATAACTAATATCTGTACTACACTATCAGTAATAATCAATCAACTTAGAATAAATACTGATGTGTTTAATAGCTAGATCAATAGAGTTAGTTATTGACGGGCTCGTTTATGTAACGGATCGTGGATTCGATCCCCACCGGGACCAACATGTTTTTAATCTATACTAATATATAAAACTGAAGAGTTTGTTTGTTTGAACGCGCTAATCTCAGGAACTGCTGGTTCGAATTGAAAAATTCTTGTGCTCTTTTTGTTGGCTAGAACAATTATAGAGGAAGGCTATAGGCTATAAAACATTGCGCTGTGACTAATAGGAGCGAAGAAACAGCGGAAAATGTAGTAAAAACTGGGAAAATTAATAATTTTTGTAGATTTCCGATGCTGATGACGTTGGTAACAGTTTGCAAAAACCAATTTTGGATACCCAAAATAACTATTCTACACGGATGAAATCGCTGACTCAGATAGTCAATTTATTTTGTGAAACTTGTCGGACCTTGTTGGAAATCTGGATCTCATTGCGTGGTAGGAATATCGAAATTCTGTCCTGGTCACGAACCACCGTTCACAGACCCATAACGTTTCGGTTTCAATCTGTGGATTTGAATATCTAGGTAGACAGCACAGCGGTTAGATGCTATACGCGGGGGTAATTCAACTGCCCTGTTCTCTATCATTAACAAAACGATTATATTTTATAACATTAGCACAGAGCATTAAAGAGTTTGGCGATAAGAAGCAAACATTCAAATACAATATAAGATTTTCATAATACTTGCCTAGTAAATAAACTTTGTAATAAGACCTCGGGCGGAGGTCGTAGGAATTCTTGAAATTTTCATATTTACCGTTAGAAACATGCAGGTACGAAATGTTAACAATATAAATATAATATCAAAACGGAGAATTTCGTTATGAAGATCGGATCGGCGAAGAGAGTAAAAGTATGCAGTCTCGCGACGAGGCGCGTCGTGTCCCACTCTTTTAAGATAAATTTTCCTCTTTATTCTGAGGAGCTTTAAGTTTTTCACTGTTATAACATTTTAGGAAATTTTAAGTTATTTATATTTGATTAGAGTTCTAACACGACTTCTTTAGGATTGTTAATTTTTAACTATTCATCTTTACATATGAAGTTATCATTTAACATCATTGATACCTTTATATACTTGAAATATTTCATATTTCATTATTAAAAAAAGGAAAATATAGCAGAACTGAGACACAGCATACCTCTATCTTCTATCGCACTGTGGGTGTTGGTTCGAGTCCGGCAATTGACATTGATTGATATCCATTTAAAGATTTATTATAATTAATAACAACAGATTAACAGTTTAAAACCTGATATATATTAGTATAATAATAATATCTCATTTATAACCCGTTTTAAACCGTTAAAATGTTTAAATAAAACACTTTAACGGTTTAAAACGCGATATATTAGTTAAACTTATTTGAAAATGATTTTTAACTTCGGCCCGACGTTTCGGATGCTTTGCAGCAGCCGTGACCACGGGGAGACCGAGTCTCCGGTGACTAATATATCGCGTTTTAAACCTTAAAGTGTTTTATTTAAATGTTTACTACTCGCGTAAACTATAGACCGTTAAAATGTTTTATTTAAATGTACTACTCGCGTAAACTACAATAAAAATAGTATACAATTGACATTTTTACATAAACCTTTCATAATTTAAAAATATACAGGAAAATATAGCCTGAACGATTATAATTAATTATATGTTAGCAAGATCGGTAGCATGACATTAAATTTGACCTTCTTGGAAAGTGACTAATGAAATACTATTACGGAAATAATTTTTCACTCCGCAATATTTACATACATCAAACCACACTTCAATTGTTTTTCCCACGACATTATTGACGCGGACACTACAAAAGTAATTCTAACTCTTATTTGTCATATAGATTTTTTATAATAGAATAATAATTATTCACTATACAATAATTATTATTAGAAACACAGTATATCCTTTTATAGTCCGGCTTATTCAATCCAGTGATTTATGTACACATTTATTATATGTGAATGCATCGATTTATTCCTTTGTTTAAACGACAATGTATCGGTAATAAATACACCGTGGTTTTTTTCAATGCATATATATAATAGTTTCCAAATAAATTGTTGAATTGATTTTAAAGTAAACATAATGTGACGCCAAAAATAAATTTCTAAGAATTTGATACTAGCTATAGTGTTAGTGTAAATCATAACTGGCTAAAAAGTGACGTGATGGGGGAAGGTCCTTTTACAGGGAAGTAGTTGACCAGACTTCTGTGCCCTGTCCGAGCGAAACAATCTACTGTTTTCCCAGGATTTTAATTAAGGATCTTCGCATTTAACGCAATGCTAGGCAACACGTTTAACCATTTGGCTACAGAGGCAGTCAGCGGAGATTTAAGAAAGATTATTTACAAATAACACCCGTTACTATGCTGTAAAATTTTGATAAAAGGTTAAATGTAGTATTTTATTTTATTTTTATAATATTTGGAAAACTGAACAGCTAATAATAATAAATAATTAAGAACCGGAAGAGTAGAACAGCGAAGCTTTTAGAATTAACGGAGTTCAATTTTACAAGTAAAAGAGATTCTTATGTCTATGTACACTAAAAGTTGGAAGTTATATAAAAAAAACAACACAGTACAAGTCTGGGTGCAAGGTTGAACCAGGATCGTCAAAGAAGAGAGTTATATTGTACAGTATTGGTCCATTAGTTTACTAGTATATCTATTTTTATAAATATTACTTAGTTGAAGTATTTCTGGGAAATAAAGTAGAGTAAATAGACTATGAAAATTGCCAAGCACAATTCTTAGTAAGTATTTATTGCTAATATGAAAATTGCTATCCTACAAAATAGCATTAAAATGCAGTTAAACCTAGTTACGAGTTATAACGCTACTTATAAGCAGACAAGCTCGAGTACGTTCAATTAGTACAATCGAGAGACTAATTCACGTCGAAAGCCGCGGCGGCTGACAAAGGCCGTCGTGAATGTGCCATAATTAAAATAATAAAGCATCGTCCCCTCATTGCTGATATGACAAGTGTCCGCAATAACCGGTACCCCCGAGGGTCGCGACTGGTTCTAACCCTCCGAAACGGGATTTTATATTGTGCCAAATATTTGGTCGAAATAATCTTAATGAAAGCCAGCTGATATCAATTGCTATTTCAATAATTCCTATACTTCATCAGTTTACACTTCACAGGTCTGCTATTTTGTTGATGTACTTGAAATTGTTTATCTGTATTAGTATTTAAAAGCTGTATCTAACACGTGTAATTATTATTTTTAATCAATTACACTTATTTTAACTCAAATATATTTAAGAAAAAGTTATAGAAATTTGTAAAATCCATAAATTTTTATTTGTAATTATTTTACATTGTAACCTTTTTTTACTTCATGTTTATTTTAACATTTATCACTAAATAGTACTACTACTTCTTTTTCTGTTCCTAAGTGCGCTTTAGTTTAATTATGTACTATAGTTAGTAAGCTTATTATGAATTATTATATAAACAAATCATAAAACGTCAAATTTCGTTGCAACAAAAAGTATTGGAATTTCTTGTTATAGTCCATAATTTATAAGGTGAGATATTTTTGGTTATATTAGAGTAATTAATATTTATTGATCATCTTTAAATAAATAGTCAATCAATATTTATAGTAACCCGTGTCTCGTAGCAAATTAGATATCTAAGCACTTAAGAGTTTGTGTGGGAGGCTGAAAGCTCATTATCACCACGATTCAATATCGCTTATGCGATGGCTTTATTAACATTTGTGACTAATTTCCACGTAAGATTGGTATTAATATGTAGTATGTAGTTATAGGACCATAATAGGAAACCTTTTTGAACGCGATAAGTGAGAAGTAAGTTATTTTAACTAAGAGTGGGATAATAATAACAAATTAGACATAAGTTATCATAATTTAAACGTCGAAAACAAATTAAAATTTTCGAATTTAGCTCAATTGGTAGACCGACAGCACGAAACGCTGACGATGCCGGTTCAAGTCTTACCCGAGTCGAACATTTTTTCAATTTGTAAATTATATAGTGCCTTCATGTGCAATAACATGTGAAAAATAATAAAGTTTTCAGAAGTTACCATACCAAGAACAAAATAGAGAAGAACATCATTGTCGTCCTCCAGTTTTGGCAAGATTGATGCAAAAAATAATTGTTTAATGTCAATGATACAAAATCTACGATGGAAATATTAAATGTAGATTAGTTGACAATCACTGTATTATTTAGATCTCTATGGATCTAATCATCATGTTTATCACGTTATTCGAAACTTCATTACAATATTAATGATAAACATAATACTATCATAAATGGTATAAGTTCATATTGGTGATGAATTGAAATAAATTATAGACCTTGAGCGATAGATTATTGAAGCAACACTTTAATATCAAAATGTGTATTATTTTACGTACCAGGTAGAACAATGATATCTATATGTGGATATGGGACGGATACACTTCTGTGTCCATGATTCTGTTTCAAATTTATTCCCGGGAAAAAAGCCAAACCCCGGGAACCACCCCACCCCGGGGGGGGGTATTTTTAAAATTAAAAAAAAATTTCCCCTTTTGAAAGCCCCAAAAAAACCCCCCCTTTCCCCCCCCCAGGGAAAAAAACCCCCCCCCCCCAAAAAAAAAAAAAACAAATTTTTTTTTATTAAAAACCCGGGGGGGGGGGGGGCCAAAACACACACACAACAGGGGGGGGGGGGCCCCCCCCCCCCCCCCCCCCCCCCCCCCCCCAAAAAAATTTTTTTTTTTTTCCCCCGGCGGGCCCCCCGGGGGGAAAAACCCCCCCCCCCCCCCCCCCCCCCCCCCCCCCCCTTCCCCCC